CTTTTTGTAAATGACGGAAAGTCTTTATCTGAGCCGGTAAACAGATAGTCTCAAGTGACTGCGGCCTTTCTGACTTGACATCACTTTGTTTGAAAATAGGCTCCAGTAAACGCAAAAAGGCAAACATGGGTCCAATTACGATTTCAATAGCAATGTAAAATTTCCAAAGTCCTCGTCGGGGAGTACTATAAATAATATCTAACCGAGACCAGCGGCTTTCTGGCCATAATTCATGTGCGATTCCCGTGAAGTCAGAATTGCCTAAGTATGGAAACTGTTTTGCTTCCTAAGTAGTGTGCATGCTTCGACATAAAACCAAGTTACCAACTTCAAAGGACCGGAAAAGACATTGGGAGTGAGACAGGGTGTTGACTAGCGCGCGGAAGAGACCATGAGCCCGGAGGAGTTAGTGGAGCCGATACTTTATTCGTCCTGGCTATTTTTAGCTTTTCCCTTGCACAAACTTAATCCTGCCCACTCCCAAACCCGCATAGGTTTCGCTTTGGTTACCTTCGCTACTACTTAGCTGCATGGTATGACAATGAGTTCGATGTTTCTGGCGGTTGTGGGCTCTCAAAATAAGTGGGTACCAGATGAACACTAAAACTACCTAAACCGCTCCCCTGCATTGTTGCGCGGCAAAAACCTTAGACGGCCGTTACCGGAATAAGTCAGTTCACTGTAAGCCGCCGTGGGTTGGACAGTGCAATGAGCATGATAGGTGGTTCGTTATATTACAATGAAGTTGATGTGGTATAACTCGTTACAAAACATGCAAAACAACCTATTTTGGCAAAACGAACAGCAGCACAACAAAGAAACAACAAATAGCACGTTATTGCTATGGCATGTTAATAAAAATTACCCAAAAACCTCAGTGGAAGCTTGGGAAGAATGAAATAGGAAAATTCCAAGCACACTTAGCCTACGAGATAGACTTTAAGTTCTGTCATCTATCATAAGCGTAAGAGATAATTTAAATCTGGTTGTGGCAACCATGTCTGTCAGCTGAGTAAATATTTAAACATGCTGCTCGCTCGGAAATCTGTTTATCAAATAGAGCAGAACAGCCTGAGCGATTAGTGACTGGCGATGAACAATCGCTTTTCGACAGATTCGCTTTAGTCATTGCTCTGATCGAAACGGCTACTGGGTAAAATATCCAAAACAGTTTAAGCTGCTTCCCGCTCTTGCCGAACACGTTTTGTCTGTGTGTACTTCCTAGGTCATCTCAGGATCGCCTTAACGTTCTGTGTGGTATATGACAGTGTCCCGCAAATCCCTTACTGCAAACAAATACTAGGCAGAGACACGTTCCTTTTTTTAAAACAAATCTGATTACTGCTTAAATTATTACATCTTTCAACAATTCGTTACTTTGCGGGGTCTTCGCTGGTGCACTCAGGGTTTTCTCACGTCAATCACGTTTGTGCCTGCTGTACGTCGACAGGGGTTGACTTACGTTTTTCTTCCAGGTTCGCAGCCATGACATTTTCGTCTATCGGTTAGAACTGTGTGACTAGAACGCAGACTTGCAATTACGGAAGCATTTTGTGTGTTTTCTTTCCAGTCATTGAGTTAGCGCGAGTGAACTACGAAATCTGAGTCAGAATGATAAAGGCAGACTTATGCTTAGGAACAAAGTTAATTTTTAAAAGCGAGTCACAACTCACTCAAATAGAGCACACACCCCGCGTACATACGAACTCTATTGTTTGTCACAAGTAGAATACAGATAAATTGTAACGGTGTATAGTTAGCAGTTCTGCATGTCATGCTTTTCTATCACCTGTTAATTGTACAACAAGTCCCCATACATAGAGGATGTAAGAGGCGATGAAATGTTCACCGCAGACGTTGTAAATAATGTTTGTATTTGATGAATGGCTAGATAGTTGAACTGCAACAACCAGTGACGTAAAAGTTAGAAATGAAGTTTCATGCATTCGGACGGATAATCTGTTTAAAATGCGTTCCTTTAGAATACATTAATTGTACAAGTTGATGAAAATGAAAGCAATTTGTGTTTATTAGGCCTCTATTCTTACTTTGGGATATCCCTCGTGAGATTTTTTGGCGCATCATTTGAAACTGTACCTCAGCAGTTAGTTGGGAACGTCTTGTCTTGCGTCATGATCAAGCAGAAGGCGTTAGATGCCTTGAAACCGAGAGATGCTAAATTGACTGTTCATAAATATAATTCTCCTCAGTTTAGTTTGCGTAAAACACATTCTAAGCTGAAAAAAATTAGTAAGCACCCAAAGAATGCGATCTGATTAGCACAAAGTTCTGTAATGAACGCAGACTATGTTGTATGGAGACTTGATAAACGGACAGATGCGATGTCATTTAAATGAATGTTTCACGGATTTAAGGAAGCTGATGACTATGAACTCTGAAAACCGAAGGATAACCGTGCCTCGAGTATAAAATATAATAGGAGGTGTCAATTGCTACCAAACGAGTAAAAGAGCATATATTGTTGACCATTTTTCTACAAACCATGCTTTAACTTACGAGAGTAATGAAAATCATCGAAAAATTCGTGTTATATAAGTAGTTATTTTTACCGAATGCGGCTTTCACAGGCGCTCGAATAGAGGCGCGTTCAAAAGTTGTCATTCTGGCGTGACTGAAATATATTTGGATAATGTTGCACCATAATTAACAGCACAGCCTTACTTAACTTATCCTTTCTAATCGAAACTGCATTTCCGAATTCCGGTTAGAGTTTCATAAGATTGGTTACCGAGCGCCGGTTTTATTGTTACTCTGGAAAATAACAACGCACGAATTCAGCGTATACGACCACATGGCCTTGGTTAGGGTTTAGCGATTTCCAATGGATGCTTTAGCGGGTTGTCGAAAAACACGTGGCCACCCTAGCAGGTGAACTAGTCAAAGAATTTTGGGTAGTTGGTCGAATATCTCTTTGACCATGGCAAACCCCTAAAGGCCTATCGGATGTGCTCCATGGACTTCGCACAAAGTCCTACGTTGTCCCATGTATGATCAAGGGGTGTTTCTATGAAGAACTATGAGAACGGTTTACAGCAAATAATATTCAATTACGGTGACCGGAAAACCCAATGAATACGTCCCATTGGAATGACAGAGAGTAGCACAAGACAACTCTGCCATTTATGTGCTATAACAGAGATGAGCAGTTCCTTTAAATTTTATACTGCGCTACAAGTATTGGTGGTTTGGCAGTGAGCCTAAGCATACTTGTGCTGTATTAATATCTATCTCTGTGCGTACTACATGTATGGTGGCTTCTAACGCCGTACGGGGCAGTCTTTTGGGGGAGGCCCATTTCAAATAAACGAATGGAATAGATTCCACATCAAGTGCCCTTCCAGGATGAGGGCCGGTAATCAATATATTTCTTAAAAAATAAAAATGTTCTTTCACATGGTCTTTGGTCAAAAATAATTTTATCATGGCCTTTTGTTGATGAAGTTCAAATTCCTGCATCCTTTTCCTAATTTTGGTCACAGAAAATATCGGCAGATATTTCCTGTGAATAATCTCAATGGGCCCAATCAGCCTAATCCTCTCTGCCTAATATGTTTGATGCTTAGTCTGTGCGGTGTGAAAACGCGTAAGAGATAACTTCCCATAAAAAGCAGTGCAGTCCATTATCATCTTAGACCGTTGCCCAAGCTGTAGATTTCCCGGTTACTTTTGACAGTCTGCCTCTGTTTTAGTGGCTAGCTTTTCGGACGTCATGGTCCTATATTCAATTCGCATTTCGAACTCTTGAACCGTCCACTATTCACGGAATTGCTGTCGCTAATACTCAAACGCAAACCTTAATGAACTCGAATCGGCCTGACTCACCTCTCTTCTGTTTGGACTACTGAACCTCTTTGGGCGATAGCTTTCCTTTCAGCCCCATAAAGTCTACTGACAAGTCTAGTCCGTGCTTTAGGATTTGGGGTGTATGGTGTGTCCAGTTGTGGGTCCACGTGACGGGCCGTAGTAGGTCGTTCACGTGCATGTAGGTGTAGACTACGCCTAGCGTCCATCAACTGGCACCCAACTCTCACCTGTGGCTATCCGAAGCTAGTCTCTGCCTAGCAGCCACACCCCGGTAACCCCCTCGACCGGCGGACTAAACTGGTTAAGGCTATTCTGTGTTGTGTGTCCCCACACAACATCCCCCCCCCTCCTTCTCATCCATTCAGCTTCGCCTACTCCCTCTCCCCATTTATTTCAAAAAGTCTTTCGAAGAAGGCGACATGCAATCCCGTAGGCGGCCCAGGCTAACTCAGGTCACTCTCTGTTAAACAAATCCATGACCCATAGTGGAGTTCGATAACTGCCTGGGATGTCAAAGTAGCCCTGTTTGGATATAGCGCTGCCTATCCCCTGGTAGGGGGAGGGGTTAGAAAAGATGACCTAAACAAATACTGCCACCATTACCCTTATTTGCGACTGTCTCCGACTACGGGTTCGAGTGGGAATCCGAAACATCAGGCCAATACATTTTTTTCCAGTGATCACACCTTTGTCTTCTGAAATACTGGGATATCACTTCATCTCCTAGTATATCGTGGTTGGTAGATGCAAAACTCGCCGTCGAAGCACCACAATGAACAACAACCACTTTCATTCCCCTCCCCTCAACCCCATAAGGCCGTCGATTTGATGACACTTCTAAAACTGAGTGGAGACCTGGACCGTCTGTTCCAGCCATGCCAGAAAGCTCAACCACTTCCAGTTCAGCTGCCTCCATAGACTACTGCGGCTGAGATGCCAAGACAGGATCCCGGAGACGAAAGTCCTAGAACGGACTGGAATTCCCAACATCCACGCCATGCTGAGACAACTGCAACTACGATGGAGCAGCCATCTTGTGAGGATGAACGAAGATCGATTAGCCAAAAGACTCACGGAGATGTCACCACAGGTGCTCGCCGACAGGTAGGACAGAAACGACGTTACAAGGACACTCTGAAGGCTTCCTTGAACCGCCTGCAAATGAACCCGATCAAATGGCAATACCTCGCTCTGGACGGACCGACCTGAAGGAGGACATTGAAAACTGGCGCAGCAGTCTACGAAGCCAACTGCGTCACCGCCGCCAAAGCCAAACGCGAAGCTCGCAAATCTCAACTGCTCCCATCTCGAAAGGCCAACTTTCAATCGCCCCCCACTTGCCCACGATGATAGCGGACGCTCCGGGCACCCATCGGTCTTACTGGGCATCGTCGGACCCAATGCACCGTCAACTCGACGTAAGTTTCTTTCACTCTCGTCCCTGTCGCAACCCCCCGCCGACCGCCATCCCCGTCACTAGCGTCCCCACTACCGCCGTCCCGCCACCATCATCCACAGACACCATCCGCCCTGCCCCAACCACTGCGTCGACTGCAGCGGCCATCACCACCACCACGACCTCACGCACTCCCCCACCGATGGGACGAAGTCCGACGACCTCTCAACCCCTAACATCAACATTCCCACCTCCAGCGATGTGGACTCGGTCCATATCTACCCTCACTGCGATTGAATATTCGTCTCACACATCCGCCTGGTTGACTACTTGCGAGTCCATCGCATAGAGGCTGACGAACCAGTGCCTGAAGCACCCACATAGGCGAGACGCATCGGCCTCAACTGCCTACATTACCTCCGCATATTCACTCATCTCATTGTCCCATTCAGTCACATGCGCATCCGCGAAAACCAGCGGTAGGCAACCGCTGGCTGCAGTACACCATCACACATTTCCCAAACAGCACCCGCACCTCACAACACCATCACCCATCGCAAGCACCCAATTACCACCTTCCACGCAAGTCGGAAGTGTTCTTCTCGGCTCCTTCTCCATGCGGCTACTCTGCTGCATGTGTGATTCGAGTCTGAGACTTTCATGGTGCGTCAAACACCGTGGCCTGGAACGCTGTTGACTGACACCCCAACTCAGTCCACTCAGTCTGCCGCTTGTGTGCGTGTTGTTGTTGTTTTTTGGAGCGGCGGACTGATGGGCTGAGAGCCAGGCTGTCGCGGCTCCTTCTTAAGTGATCTGTGACACAAATGTGGGGAGCGTGTCTGTGTGTGCCTTATTGGTAGTGCCCCTCAGTCGACGAATATTTGGTTACTCAGCCTTGAAGATTGACGGCCCAGGCAAATGCAGGGCTGCGTGTCATCTTTCTGGGTCTAAAGGTCTGTAAGTGTCTGCTATGCCAGGATTAACAAATTACTGCCCTCGCAACCTGGTATGCGCTGGCAGTTCCCCCACACCTGGCCTCTCGCCGGTAGATGCGCCCGCGCTCCCGCTGAGTACACGGGTCGTGCGCATGGCTGTCCAGTCATCATCCTCGTCCTTCTGACCCCTGTTGGGATGTCTTTGTTGTTATGGGTTCAAATCCTGGTCAAGTGTTTGTTGTGGACCAGGGAGTGTGGTGGTAGGCCTAGGCGCGGATTCATCCGCCGTGCCAGCCAACTACGCCCGCCCTTATCTCTGGTCTTCTTGATACCGGAGGGAAGTGCGGAAAATGCTGCACAAGTCTACACCTACTATAAACTAAATCACGTGCAATTCACCGTGCCTGCCTCACCCTGCTGTAAAGCACACGGTGGACAGTCGAACTGCCGTAGACGCGGGTTTTCGCCGTACCAGCTACGTGCACCTTCTCCCGCCTCCGTTCTTCTTGACTCTGTCTTGACACCGGATACAGGTAGGATGGGAGAGAGCGCGATAGATGCTGCGCAGTTCTACTATCACCGCAAACCAATTCATGCATAAGTTATCGTCGCGTTATTGTTGCATTCTAGCCATAATCAGATGGCTGTCACCAAAACATCAAGCTACTCTGTCCTACGTATTCCAGAAGTACGGTTCTGGATTCCCTCGTTTACTCTTTTGGCCCTGTCCATAGGCCGTTGCTTAATTTAAGGTGTTAACTTTGCATGAAATTCGACATCTGCCCACTGTAGTAAAAGGCTTAGGTAGTCCCCGTGTCGGACGGGACGGGAGTGGGTTTTACGTGAACTTTTCTTACTATACTAACTCTGTCTCACTGAGTTTCAACCGCACTAGAAGCCCTGGCTTTACATTTTGCCTACCAACATATTTCTGCCTCTTTCATGGATTTGCACCAGGACTATTGATCTAGGCAGCATGTTATTACCGACAAAGACAAGAGAGACTGGAATGGCCATTTCTGACTTATTAGCCGTCGTCAGCCAGTCGTACCTAGCCCCGAAGTGTGGAACACCCGAGGCTCCAGAAGTGGCCATTTCAGTCTCCTTTGTCTTTGTCGGTAATAACATACTGCCTGTCTGTGGCATGGGACACTGAAAGCAAGAAATAATACCACAAATTAATTACACACTCACCTTCGCTGAGTTGAGTGAGACGACTGACTTAATCTATACTGACTGTTCTCCTCCTGAAAACTGTTGTTTCTCTTGTCTTGACCTGCCCTAGGTTCAGATACTTGTAGATCACGTCAGCCACTGTCTTCGGTCTCATCTCCACCCGGACTGACTCCTACTCGCCCTGATAAACGGGCGGAGAGGGCTGATCCCGTGGGTTACTTCTTTAGAATAAAGTATCCAGGCCGCCCTAGATCGTCAAATGACGGGATATCTGTGTCCTCTGAATGAAGGTCAGATTGAGACGATTCCCTCGCTGTGACCGTTGTGGCTGCAGTCCGTATGACCTAGGTTTCGCGTAGGCTGAAGGTTCGGCAGTCGTGTGTTACGCATGGACGGATTTATACGCAAAGTCAGTCCGTGTGCCGAGGCCTGTTCCCAGTCGCTCGGCACAGTCTTCTCAGGTTGGCACCGTGAGTGGGGAGTGAGATCACTGTAAGGATGCCCTATCCGTGAAAGCCACGCCAGTGTTCATGATTACTACCGATGAAGTGTGAATCCGTGGCTCAAGTAACAAAATTATGGTGTCATTGGTAAACGAGTTTCCTTTTCTTTCTTATCAACTATGAGCAAATAATAGGCTGTCGTTTCGAAAGTAGCTTACCACATAAGGGTTGTTCAACTGCTTAAAACGTAATGCAAACGTAATTGCAAACAAACCATGTACAGACAAGCCGATTTCGCTGACAGTTAGTTCCGCCTTTGCGCAATAAGATATCGGCATAACACATGTTGCGCGCTAGCAACTGGCGTCCACGGGTGGACACAGTATCAGTAGTTTTTGCGGATGCGTATTCCTCATTCCAAATCCTGGAGTTCACTTTGTGCGCCCTATAAAAAACCCCACCCTCTTCCCTTTTAATGCCTAACCCTCCCTCAAAATCTGAATAATTTAAGAAGACCTACTTAACAGCAAGTGTTTGTGGTCGGAAAGCTGTGGGTGTGGAGCAGTGGAGGCTCATGATAAAAGCATAAATTTCCCAGGAAGCAGCAGTTTGTAAACCTGTGCTCTCAGATTTCTTACAGAGACCATACCTGACAAAAAGTAGGTTTAAGTTGAGAGCCAGCCATGAACTCCCCCCCCCCACCACAGTAAGTTAGCTTACTAGAGACATAGATCCTCAAAGTCCCTGTCTCTCCTTTTTCAATAACAGATGCTTCAGGCAATTTGGGTACAGTCTCATTGACCTTTTCCTATTAACCATTCCTTCGGGTGCCATTGACTTTATTGTCTGTGACTCTGTTGGCAGTTAGGTATGTGCTGGCAGCGCAGCGTAATGCAAACAAAGTGCCCTTCAGAAGTACCCTTATCATGGCGCCAGTACGACGACGTCCTTCTATATAGAGTGTTTCCCGTCCGGATTCCTTTATGTTAGGCTACGTGTCATGGCAACGACACGTCCCTTGGTGCGTGGGGAGACATTCTTATCAGTGCACTCATTCCTGTATGGGATGCGCGTAGCAGGGTGCTGTAGCAGGGATTTTGCCTACGCACTTGAAGAAGGCAGTTTGATTACCAGGAGGAGCGCAGATAATAAAAAACGGGGTGAAGACTGTCGCCGCATGGGACAGAAACTCCTTCGATGAATTACTTTTCCAGAGAAAATCAGTTACCCTTAAATTAAGATATGTTCTGGGGTCATACAAAGCGTGGGGGAAGCAATGCGTCCGTTGTAAAGGAGGTTTTTAGGTTATTACATTATTAGAAAGGGAATAGTCAACAAAAAACCGAAAAAGTACAGAATTAGCCAGTGGCTCTTCAGGTCCCAAAGTCCCTTCACACTATACCGCATGGGTATCTTGATTGAAAGTTTTTTGGTTCAGCACACTTGAATTGAAGAAGTAGTGTATGCCTTCCCCCAAAACCATTGGTACTAAAGTCATCTCTAGAAAAATAATCAGACAGGTACTGCTCAATCATGTCATGTTAGATTAATCATCAATTTATTTGCGGTATCTCATCTAGGCGCCCAAATAAGCATATTTTTCATATACGTAAAAGAGAATAATCCAGGTCGGTACCGGTTGTATGCGCGTTCTGCATGAACTTGTGACTTGTATCAAGTCTTTCCAAACTTCCAGCTGAGCATGGTTCGGATAGTAATGTCATATGTAAGCGTAACGTATTCGTCCGTACGTTGTTACCCTTGGGGGCATCATTTTGTGGTACATATTGAGAGAGATCGGCGGACCACAAAAGAACCAACTGTTATCCCAAAAGTGAGGAATTCCTACTTTTTGTCTATCAGAACCACAAAATAATACCTTCACGTAGAAGTTTGTAGTAGTTGCCTCTGTCAATTTTGCAGAACGTATTGGTTTTTCTAATTAATCATAAATCCACTGGTTTTCAGTATTTTCCAGTCCTTGCCTATTTCTATCATCATACCTGCTGCCGGAAGCATCTTGACACCAACACTGCTTGTTCTGGCTTACCAAATTAGGCAAAAACAATTCACTGTCCATGTCAAAGACTATATAGCAACTTATAACTTGGGGCTGTCGCAAGCACGATGAAGATTATAATAACCTTAATCACAAAGATGGATTTCGCGTTAGTACTGCACCTGACCGATCTTATCAAATGCTAACCGAAATTCGGAAAGGTATTTTCGATTAGAAAGTACTATTAAGGCTGGGCTTTGGCATTGATTATCGTGTGACATAATCTCAAGGGGTTCTAGCTACGACAGGATGTCGGCTTTTGGATGAATCTTTCTGGCAACATGCAAGAACTACACTGAGACAAGAATGACAACTTAACTTGTATAAGCCTTTTTCATTGATTTCCAATGTCCTTAAATAATTTGATATTTTTATTGCTAACGTCCTCCAAAATATCCCTTATTTTTTCCGCTTCTGTAGGCAGTTAAGGCCTCTTCAAATTTAATACTCAAACGAAAGGTGTATTTCGATTTAAGAAAGTTTTTAAGTTCCCCAATAGTTCTGAGCCCGATCCGCTGTTGCATTTGTGTTTGAAGTTCTTGACTTACATGCTGTTTTCTTTTCGTGTAGGGAAAATCATGCACTCACCTATGTCATTATCAGGCACTATATAGGGCTGAAGGGTTCACTGAGATACCGAACCCTCTGCACCTGCGCCGTGCAGCAACAGAATACCGGTGAAACGTGCGTGTCTGGGCTTTTAGCTACTACCTGTCCTGCTTGTATGGTATCTTCTAACACTAAAGTGTATTTGAATTTGCAAGAGCATCGAAAGTTGACTAAAAATGCGTATTACTTAATTAGGCAGTTTTTGTTGAGTGCGATATTTGCAGACGGCTGGAAAAACGTGCATTCAAACGTCAACATCCTAGCGTGTCTAGAGTATCTTGAGATTTTATCGCGTGATAATCATTACTACAGTCCCGCTTAATTAATCCTTAGTTATCGAAAACGCATGTCAGAATTCCTATTAATTTCATGAAATCGGTCACTGAATGCGCTTGGTCAATGGGAGCAGGCACTCATCACTATAGGTACAGTAGGCGATTTCCACGACCTGCCTCACTAGAAATTGCTTTGTTAATCCTAGGTTTTTTTTACGAATTTCGATATTCTTAGCGTACATCAAGTCTTGCGAAATACTAACGGTTCCCCACCACTGATGGTGTATTTTACAACAACGATTTAGAAGTTTCAATTTTCACTGTGCTGCACGGACTTTAGGCAGTTAGTTACGGGCAATGCATTTTATACGGCATGTATGTAAAATTCTCCATCTACCCAAGGAAAAACCCCATAGATCACTTTGGTCATGTTAAATCAGTCCAACCGCTATAGGTCCTCAAAATCGTTACTGTTCGCAAACGGCGGTAACGCGTAATTTGCAAATGGACCTACTAGCAAATCTGACGTCAGAAAGACGATTCACATTAACGTGGACATGTGTAATTAATCTTTCCATGTCTGTATGAACATTTAGTGTACCTGCAACAGTCCATAGGTGTACGGCTGCTATGACCGACCACTGTGTCCGCGATATGTAGCTGACAACGATTTTTAAAAGGCACCTGAAGCGTCGCTGAACAAAAATTTCAGCGTAAAATATCGGCCGGATGCGTTTATGTAGCCCCAGCTGAAGTTAGCAAATCCCAGTCACTTCTAATACGGGACCGGTGGTAATAGGGGTTTTTACAGGTGGTACCGGGGAACGCACAGGCGACGAGATCAAGTAATTGTATGCAAAAGAAAAGCTATTGGGAATTCGCGGCCGTACTTTTGATGGTTGAGAAATGGTTGTGCTAATCCCTAACTTTACCCCTTAATCCTAAACCCTAACCCTTACCCCTAATCATAACCCCTAACCCTAACCCTTAACCCCAATTCCGGCAGTATTTTGTCCATCAGGCGGGGCTACCAAACCACATCTTACCAAAGTATCTTTTCCCGGTTCTGCATTAAAGATGATGCCTTGAATTTGATAACGGAAGGCGTTTTAACTTGCGGTTGACCAGAAAATCCGCAAATACGGGGATTGTTTAAAGACAAGAACTAATTACACAAAAATGAACGAAATCCTGCTTGAGAATCAGTTATTATTTAAAGTGATTTGAGACATTTAATAAACAAACGGGAGCCAACAAAAAAGCGGATTTCACTCCACCTTGTGAATTTAGAATCAATGCTTATTGACACTTTGCTGGATGTGCGTGTAATACATGCTTACATACTCCTGTTGGAAGCAACTCAATGGACGTTTATGTCTTGCTTCATGTCACTGTGATGTGAACAGTGCCTGTTAGTAAAAATAAAGTATATTTTCCTCTCTGAGTGTTACCATCAACGTGCATGCTATTTTACCGTAAGTGTACAGTAGGTGGGCTGACTCATGAAATGTCAACCGAAATTCCGATATGCATTTTCGGGAAATGATTTTCGATGCCCCTAAAAGTCCAATTATATTTCATAGAAAAACTGCATAAAAATATTCATTCTTTCCCTCATACGGCAGATAACTACGCCTTCTTTAAAATTTACACTCGAAGAAGGGACATAATTCGGCTTTAAAAAAGTTTCTAACTTTGCGACTTTTAAATACCGTGAAATGGCCGTTCATAAATCGTAATGTCTCTGCATTTATCAATGTGGCTGGTAAAGTTAACAATATTGTTCAAATCCACTGCTAAATTTTATGAGCCCTATGACAGTTCGACCATCGATTTCGATGATGTCCACCGTGTGCCCCACAGTTGCAGCAGCAATGGGAGCAGGGACGGTGACTTACGCAGGGGTTTATAGTGCCAGTAGACTTGCGTAGCATCTACCCACACTCTCTCCTCCTCCCTCGCCCGAGCCCGGTGTCAAGACAGTGTCAAGAAGACCGGAGACGAGAGAGACCTCAGGTGGATGGCTCGGACGGATCCTCACCTTGGCGTTCCACCACAACCCCTGGCCCACACAACAAATAACCAGGATTTTGAACAACACAACAGAGATTTGGAGGCTGGCACGGCCGAAGCCGCACCTGGGCGTGCCGCCAACGCCTGGCTCGGATCCCACACTGTGGTGGGAATGCCATAAAGGCCACATTAAAAAGGAGCCATTGCAGCCTGACTCTCAGACCGCCTCCGGTCAAGGAGGAGGTCCAAGGTACCCCGTCAGTTGGCAACCTTCCAAGCCACGGCTTTTAGCGCACCGTGATAGCTTCAAGCGCGTCAGATTGTTTATAGTGAGGAAAATGCGCTGAGTCGTCGACCTCACTCTCCCTTCCCATTCCCACACCCCAGCCACTGTCCGAGCCAGTCAGTAGACTGGAATGGGGAATGGGCGCGGTGGCTGACATGGTCGACTGACCATGCCTGCGCGCGCCACAGCACGACCTGGCCCCCCATACACACACACAAAACCAGGATTTCACACAACGGGGGTTGAACGGCGTGTCTCTCACTTGCGTGAGAGTGCCGTGGAAGGTGCGGTTTCAGCCCGTTTCCAGCCCACCAGTCCGCCACTCCACACAACACACACACAACGCGCGAACTGCGTGAACCGAGAGCGGGCGTCAATCAGCAACCTTCCTATCCACGACGCTTGACGTGTCGGGATAGTCTCGGACACAAGTGACCCGTGCAGCCGAAGTCGCATGGGGACCAAGTCGAGATGCGGACTTCCCACTTGCGTAGGAGGTGGCAGTTGGGTGCATGAGGTGTGTGAGTGTTGATTTCTGGTAGGGTGATGGTGGTGGTGGGGGAGGTAGCGAGTGAGTGAATGTGTGGTGTGGCCGACGGTTGTCTACTACAGGTCGTCGTGGATGCGCATGTGGCCGAATAGGCTCATGCGATGCCTGAAAGTGCGAGGACAGTGTGGGCAGTTGAGACGAGCTTGTTGGGTATAGGTGGGTGCTCCAGGCACTGGTTCGCCAGTCTCTGTGCGATGGATTCGCAAGTGACCGACCAGGCCGATGCGTGAGGTGAATGTGCGTGGACAGTGTGGGCATGAGAAGTCGGCGGTGCCAGTGTCAGCTACAGAGGAGGCGGTGGTGGTGGTGGTGGTGGCGGTAGTGGTGGTGGTGGTGGTGGTGTCGCGTACGGATGGAACGAGAGTGGGGGTGTGCACGGTGGATGTGTTGGATGTGGTGGGTGTGTCGGGAGTGCGGTCAAGGCCGCTCTCGTGGATGCGCATGTGGCCGAAAAGGCCCATGCGATGCCTGAAAGCGCGAGGGCAGTGTGGGCAGTGGAGGCGAGTGCGGTGGGTGTAGGTTGGTGTTTCACGCCCTGGTTCGTCAGGCTCTGTGCGATGGATTCACAAGTGACCGACCAGGCCGATGTGTGAGGTGAAGGTACGGTCGCAGTGAGGGCAGATGTAGTCCTGATCCTCATCCCTGGAGTCGGGGGAAGTGGTGGTAGTGTCGGTTGCTGTGCGTGGGACAGTCGCCTGAGCGGCCGCCCCTGGGGCAGTGGCGGATGATGATGATGATGATGATGATGATGATGATGATGATGATGATGATGATGATGATGATGATGATGATGATGATGATGATGATGATGATGATGATGATGATGATGATGATGATGATGATGATGATGATGATGATGATGGAAGTGGTGGGTCAGAAGAATTGTCAGAGTTAGTTGGCGGCGAAAAGGAGGAGGAGGAAGAGGCAGGCGGGGGGACGATGGTTGGTGCCGTTCGAGAGGCGCAGTTAATCCGAAGATGTCCAACAAGTCCGATTCGAGCCCGGAATGTCCGTTGACATCGAGGACACGTAGGGCGAGGTTGTGCGGCGGCGTTGCTTACTGGGCGAAGTTGGGATTTGCGGGCTTCACGTTTCACTTTGGCGGCAGCGATGCGGTTGGCTTCGTAGATCACAGCGCCTGTCTTCACTGTCCTCCTCCAGGTCGGTCGATCGAGTGCGAGCTTCTCGCAGATGGTGGGGTTGATTTGCAGGCGCTTCAGGGAGGACTTCAGAGTATCCTTGTAACGGCGAATCTGGCCTCCTTGACGGAGAGAACCCGTCGCGACGTCTCCGTAGAAGAGTCGTTTGGGTAGTCGCTCGTCGTCCATGCGCACCAGGTGGCCGCTCCAGCGCAGCTGAATTTGCCTCAGTATGGCGTAGATGCTGAGGATTCCCGTCCGTTCCAGCACATCAGTGTCGGGGATTCGATCCTGCCAGTTCAGCCTCAGGATGCGACGAAGACAACTGAGGTGGAAGTGGTTCAGTCGACGTGCCTGCCTCGTGTACACCGTCCAAGTCTCCCCTCCATACAGAAGCGTCGGCAGGATGACGGCCTTGTATATCTTCAGCTTCGTGCTCAGTTGGAGACCATGACGATTCCAAACTGTGCTTCGGAGGCGACCGAAGGCTTGACTGGCTTTCAAGATCCTGTTGGCGACTTCGTCATCAATCTTGGTGTTGCGGGAGAGGGTACTGCCCACGTACGGGAAGTTCTCCATCACTTGCAGTTGGGTCCCATTCACGCTGATTTGCGGCGGCGCGTTGGGGGCTGTGGCCGAGTTGGGTGGCGGTTGGTGCATCACCACCGTCTTCTGTGTGTTGATGACCAGACCGAAGTTCTCGCAGGCGGCGGAGAATAGGTCCATGCTGCGTTGCATTTCCTCTTCCGAGGTGGTGCTCAGGGCGCAGTCGTCGGCGAAGAGGAGTTCGTGCACGGTGGTTGTGGATACGCGCGATTTGAAGTGCATCCGCCGTTGATTCAGAAGGTGACCGTCTGTCCTGTAGGCGATGCGGATCCCGGGGCGTTCGTCGCGCTAGGCGTCCATCAGCATGGCAGAGAACATAAGACTGAAGAGGGTAGGCGCCAGTGCGCAGCCCTGCTTCACTCCATTGGTCTCTGCGAATGGCCCCCTTTATTACCGTAGGGAAATGTGTGGTTTTCCGTACGCGGAAAATATACGGCTTGTAGTTTCGAAACCCTGAATCCAAGTGTAACGGTATCCTGAGGTAACTGAAATATTATAGAATTATGTTGCAGACTGACTAGTTTTACAACCCTACTTAATTAAGCTTTTCGAAACGAAAGCGCATTTCGGAATTTCGGTTGACATTTCGTGAGTTAGCTCACCTATTGCAGAACTTAAAATGGAAAAGTGTTTGACAATGAAAATAAAGACTGACTTGGAAGGTTTCTTGAGCGAAAATCCTCTGGAAGGATTCGCGGAAGTGAGCGCGAAGGTCGAACTTTTCATGTCTCAGCGCATTAGACTAAGTAAGATAACCTGAAGCCTTATGGGTCGCAAGGTTTTCCACGACAACTTACAGAAAACTCGGCAACCTGTCGTAGGTTACCAACCTCGTGAAATTCAGATATATTTCCGAAAAAGTCCTGATACCTCGAGAACCGTGACAAATCCATCGTCTCTAAAACCCAATTAAAATCAAGCGACCATCAATTCAATAACATAGATAGCGTCATACAAACGTTAAAGTAGTACTGCGCCGGTCGAAAATAGCAATTTTTGTGACAGTAGAATTGTAGAAAATTGAAAACTCGTGTCGAGTAATTTACTCTAATCTGTAAAAGTGCACGGTGCATAATCGTGCAAACAACTGGGTGAGCAGAACAATATAACAGGAAAAATAACAAAGACAATTTTAGGTAATTCTTGAGCTAAGCATTCTCCAAGACGCAGTATAATGACAAATCAACTGCCTTATTTCAAGAGAACGAGTAAACTTTAAATCCTTTGTTTTAGCTCTGTTCGAGGTGTAAATAATTCAGTGGAGATATATTTTGTTAGATTTTATGATTAAAATCGTAGGATGAATGGAAGTTTTCCTGAGTCGCATGTGGGAGACCGGTCGATCAAGCCTGCAATTTCCCGCGCCGATGGCGAATGTTTTATAGTAAAAATTGGTGTATGCTTTTTGCGGACGATGTAATCCGTTGAATCTCTAAACGTCATTGAAGTGACAGTGGATGCTTTAAGTTTTTGGTGCTCTATTTTTCTTCTCCGAAAAGATAGTTTTTGCTATTTTTGACTATAAAAAGTCTAATAATTAGGGGGTTCCTAAAAGCTCTCACTAGTGTATGGAGTTCTCAAAAAGTTTTTTGCCGGGAATGACAGTCTGAGCATTGTTCGTATGCTCATAGGCACGGGAAACCTCATCGTGGAGGAAAATGATGGTCTTTCATAAAGGCCTGCAATGAAAACCCCCGTGATGATAAGGAAAGGATCTAACTAGTTCTTTCTTTGCAGCCCCCTTTCTAGACTGTTTCGCAGATGACGGTTCACATCCTCTTTATTTTTAGCAATTAAAGTATGAGAGAAAAATGAAACTTCTCGCCGATTAATGCACTTTACTGACTGATACTGAAGCTATTATAGCCATACTCAAAATTAACTCTGTTTTCTCTTTATTTTGGAACCGATTAAGGCGGCATTTCAAGAAATTCATATCACGGTAAATATGCATACATTTGAAAGTAGAATATTATTGAAAGTTAATCATCTTACCATGGACTCAATATTTCAACAAACTATTCTGTTGGTGGGCTTTTGGGTCGCTTCTAGAATATGTATACATGCTTAAAAACCACCCGTTTGATAATACGAATATTGCTCGTTGGTGTTATTATCATATTGTAAGGCATGACATTGCTCATATTTACGAATCAGCAGAAAAACGTCTACATTTCTCAAAGCAAAGTGGTTATCCACAACTTGTCTGGGTTGAATATCAGCTATCCATTCAGTCAGTCGTCATATGTTAACTGCAATTAAGACGTGTCATGTTCCCAAAAGTCAAATCGTGAATACTTGTAAAGGCTAAAGTCTTCGATTATGGCAAGAGAAGAGACGGCCTTTTGGAGCTGAGGAACAAAGTTGAACAGAGCTACTATTTGAAATTTTCGAAGAAGGATTTCCCTTTTTTGAAAATAGCACGGCTACTCAAATTTTGAATCACGGAAAACAGTGAAACTGTAAGTTGGCAAAAAAAGTCATAATTAACCTTTCTCATTTTAATTTACTCTCTCGACTAGCAAAACACGTAAAGGCAGGCGAATTTGGTCTACAGAGAAGATTATTTCTATCTAAAATGGCCGCTTCTTTGATAAAAAAAAAACTTGTAAGCACATTTTGTTTGGGGGAAAGGCTCGGCAAAAAACGGGTTCAGTTACTAAGCAGATCTTAGGAACTTCAAGATACCCCGAATTGACTACCTAAGCTTTGGCCATCAAGATTACCTAATTTTGTCGCCTACAGAAGCATATCGCTGAAACATCGGGAGCTAAGTCAGGCGCTGCTACGCTCGCATCAAGCGGAAGTGCATTAGGCGGTGCAAGTGGTTGAACACGATTGATGTGTTCTAAAGTACCCAACGCGGCACATAAAAATTTTTCGCTCAGAATACTTTAACTTTGTTATAACTTAAAAAGGTATTTCAGCCGAAATAGGCGCTTCTATATAACCAAAAGATTGCCCGCATAGACAAACGCGTTCGACAGGGTCTTCACAGCTGTACACCCAATTATGTCAGCTAAGTCAGACTTGAAAAGCTTAGGAAAACTGTCTTCTGCCTTTTTATCAGTTTTTCCGTCACAAATCCGTTTAGACACTGTAAGGATAATTTCACCATCTTCAAGAAAGCAGGAGGATTTCGACAGTAAGCATTCCTAATTGCAACATCTGGGCGTGCCTATACCCTACAAAGTAACAATACTAGCAGGTAGCATTCTTTCACTTTTGGCATAAACAGAGGTGGTTTTGCCCCGTCTATTACTAAGTAAATGAGTAATATGAAAATGGAAAGGATTCCCCATATGTCACTTGAATTATATTTTAATATTACCAGTGTCGTGGCCTAGCTTACTCAAATCGACTGAATAAGGTCTAGAATTAAGCAAATACGACGAAAAAAGCGCATAAGAAGCTTATATTCTTGGCCGGTATGAAGTCGTTTTGTGTCATCCTACGAAAGCAATCAAAACAGACTACTGTGGATAAATGTCACAATGGACCCCAAACTGCAGAGTAGCCTTCAAGACCTGTAATTATATAAGAGTTCTGATATTTACAACATAGGGCGTGCGTCTCTTATGGATTGAACTGAAGATACCGAAAGTAAAAAGGCATTTTTAAACGTATGCAATGTTTCGACCTGGTAGTGTGCGATACGCGCAGAAGAACTGTTTAGATTTGTCAGCCATTGCGCGCACATAAACATCCAAAGGCCTTGACGTAGTCTTGCCGTTGGAACGCGGTGGGCCTATCAGGTTCCTAGATATTGTAATCCGCCGATAAATCGCTCGGTAATTAAACCTCAAAATCGTATTCTCACTACTGTTGGCAATCGTTACTCATGTTTCAATGTCTCCTTCCTAGTCTTTTGCTTAGCACTGCCAGAATGAAGAGTTGTTTATGAATGTGCCCCAAGTCTGGGTGTTGCTTTGGGAATATTAAACGCCCCAACGAACCTCACATAACATGTTCCGGCCACTCTTCTGACATAACTAATTAGATTTACTGGTTAGTAGACAAACTGACATGAGAGGATCATTTGTTGAACACATAAACATGTGCTTGCGTAGGCCAGGTCACAGCAAAACCGCCCACTCTCAGACACCTCCTGTTTGCGCGAATAAAGGCGCCAGCTGCCGAAATGTGTATAAAAGGCAGCCAATGCTGCGGATTCCTTCAATCTATAGGAGAACTAACATGTCTGCAAACTGTTCAGGACTGCGGTGGCATCCTCTTCTTCTCTTCTCCCTCTTCTGCTTCATCGTTCTGCTGGATGCAGCCACCCCACAGGAGGCCTCAGTGGGAAAAAATCTCACCAGCAGGGCTAGAGGAGGAGGAGGAGGAGGAGGAGGGGGGGGGGAAATATGCCAGACAAGAGAGAAGTAGGAGGAGGAGGATGATTAGGAGGGTGTGCAAGCGAATGTAGTCGACGGCGAGACAGTTGAGTAGCCAGGACGGCCAACTAATCCACTCATGCCAGCCGGTCGGTGGGAGCGCTCTCGCGAATGTTTCAAACGACTTCTACGTGGACGAGGATGCAGGGCAGGACGTCGCCAGCAGCCGACGCAGCATGTCAACATCGTCCGTATATCCTTTTAACTGTCCATCGACCCAAAGGTGAACATTCCATTCTTCATCGGTTACAAAGTTGCATTTTTTGATATAGTTACTGACTTTGAATGGGAATAAAGCAACTTTAAAATAGCAGCAGTTCTCTGCTTGTAAGAGTCCGGTGTAGAAAGGATAAAGGAGGCCTTATAAAATGTGTCGATTCCTGTGGAATCCTGTATGATTTCTTGTGGCATTTGTCTGAATATGTGGTCGGCTAGATCGGCAATCCCATATGACGCCACCACAATTGCAATTAACGGCTACAGCCGTGAGAGAATATACTCTAGTTGACCAAATGTGCAAGCCAGCTATCTGATAAGAAGTAAAAGGTACGTTATGTGTGCTTGATTTAAAAACATAAAAGGCAGCACCCTTGACAATTTTTCCCTCTTCCTTCCTACTTCTATCTTCTCCTTAATGCGGTAATTTCGGAAGCAACCTCGTTATGAAGGGAATCATTAGATCGCCTAGAAGAGGGAGGATTTCATGAATGAAACGAAGCTAAGGTCGATGAGTATCCAAACAGGACCATTAATGAATGTGACATCAGAAGAGAGCTAGGCGGTTTCTCCGAGGTCGCGGTTACACCGATTGGGAATCCCCTCAACCGCTTCAAAGCGCACACGTTTTCTTTCCATATGTCGACTGATACCTAAAATTATCGATAAGGTATCCACTGAAAAGGTGTATTCTTGCTCAATATCTGTCTTCGCAATTGCGATGTCACGTTCCGACAAACTGCGTTAATACCATAAATATGTCATACCAGAAATTGGTTCATATTTTGTTTCAAGATTTTGTATACACTTTAAATATTCCAGTCCGTCGGAAATGGGTTTGACTGCTCTTTTAGCGTGTGTCGTAAATGAATCAGTTTTTAGATTGCCTAACTTTCACATTTCAGAACAGTCAACTTTACAGAGCTTGTAGTCTCTTTTGACCATGTACATATTTGAGCTTTAGAAGCCATGAATATAATCTGCCGGGTTTCCGGTCCAACTGCTACCAGAACGCTTCTATGGGTGACACTTTATAGTAACAAAAAATGACCCGAATGCAGAAATTGTCATGATCCCAGGAGTGTAATTTATCTCCAATCTGCTCCTGTTTCGCTTGACGTCATGTAATTTACGTCGCGAATTGCCCATGGTTCGATGGTATCTGAATGTAACGTTAAAATTTTTTCTTGTTAGTGATTGGTTTTCGTGCTTCCAAATTGTGTGTGCGGACTCATCTAAACTAGGCAGTACTTTTAACATTTTTAGCCAGGAGAATTGTGCTAAGAGAAATAGACTTCTCGGTTTTGTTAGCGATTTTTTTCAGCCATGAACGGTTTTAAGAGGTAAATGGATGGTTTCACAAGTATAATTGGGTCTGCTTGTTAGCTTTAAATATACAATTGAGAATATCTCTTAGAAACAATCTATACAAATTTCCAATCAGCAGTATTCTGGTAGGAGGCTCCATACTTCTAGACACTCTTGCTACGTCCTATTAGTTTTAGAAAAGTCAGCTAAGTTACTCAGTGGTAGGGGGCGCTCCCTTGTCTTTGTCGGTAATACCATTCTGCCTAAGTTACTCAGGTTGTCAAAGCTGAGAGATCCGGGTTGATGATTTAAAGAAAAAGATCGGCTTACCGGAACGGGTTTATTTAGGTACTGACGTTTCGAAGAACTTGGTCAGCTCCCAATTGTCAAAGCGTAAAGTACACTTAATCGACCAGAAATTCCAAGTGGCATGTCGCGTTGGTCGGCCTCATGTTGGTCGATTTTTCTTTTCTCTCGCTGTCTCGGCCTCTCGGGGGATGGTGGACGGGCGTTTTATCTATGGTTTGGGAGTCACCGCTTCGTCGGGTGATCAGTCTGGTGGTTCTTCCTCTTCGAGTAGACTCGCCATCGGCCTATGTATGACCTTCTTAAGTCCTGTGTTGTTACTTGATCACGAGCTCTACGGGCGTGACGACGTAGGACTTTGTAGGCTGCAGGAAAGTCCAGATGCCTGTTGATAGAGCTGGCATCGGAGTACTAAGTCTCGAGCGTTAGCCGTTCTGCTTTTGTTTTTCCCCGGCCTAAGATGGTAGCTCTCTAGAGATCGAAGGTAGGCCCAGTTTCTCCAACGTGAGTTGCTATTCTAGAGTTTGGACCTAGTCTCCGAGCCGCGATTTTTGCCCGGTTTCTCCAACACAGTCGCAGTTGCCCTCATTACAACTTATTTTGTTGACAACTCCTGAGATTTCAGCGGGTGGCAGTGTGTTCTTTGGTTGCATCAGACAGCGTCGAATTGTTACTTGGAGTCGGTGGGCTATTCCTACTCTGGCGGGTTGTAACGGTAAAGAAACCGCCTCTGAGACCCCTTTAACGTAAGGAATGGCCCGCTAGGCTTCAGTTTGTTACCCATTTGACGGTCGTCTGTGCACTCGGCGCCTGCTTCTCTCCATGAAAGGTCTGGGATAACCACTGGCTGCAAAGAGGTCCTGAAAGTACATTCGTTCGACCGTTTTATCTTCCGGCGTGTCGCAGTGTGTTTTAACTCTTTGGAATAGAGTTCGGACACATATACGTTTGTGAGGCAGAAGATGGTTGCTGTTGAAGTGTAGGATCTGTCTCGTGTTGGTGGATTTTCGGAATACTGTAGGTTGCAGCTGTCCAGTGGTACACCGGCGCACAAGTACGTCAAGGAAGGAGAGTTGGCTGTTTGTTTCTGCTTCCATCGTAAATTGAATATCCGGATTAACCAAGTTCAGTAGTTCTTTTAGGTGTTTAGTGTCAGTTGTTTTGACAAGAACGAAGGTGTCATCGACATAGCGGGCCAGAACTTTGGTTGATACTTGGTGAACACTAAGTTTTCTATCCGTTTTATTATTAGCAATTAGGCCTGACAAAGAGGAATTCACAGGAGTCCCCTTAATTTGTTCGTAAATTTGCCCACCAAAGGTGAAATAGGTCTGGAAGCAGTGTTGCAGAAGCTCGAGCAGATGGTCAGACTTCGGGGGCTTGTTCCTCTCATAGCACTCAGCCAGTAGTAGGTAGTTATGTTACCTGAATGTTAACGCAAGGTGCTTTCTTGCCCTTTTGTCAAGCTCTAAAGCAAACTGCCAAGCGCATTACCTGATATCCCGTTTTTTTCTATCAGTACGGTCTTGTCAAGTGATATCCTCACAAAGGAATTAGTAAACATACCCCGACTAAGTGATATTTGCTGAATGTCGATTAAATAATCTCAACTAAAGTGACCTGAATGTTATTCCACTCGAAGGTCTCAGACAGATCGAAGGCGTGATATTCAACAAAAAAACAGTATTTATAAAGTGGTAACACGTGACATTGCTTGTTTGGTTGGTTTGCTTCCATCTTTGAGCAGTTGGCGAATTAAAGCGATTTGTATGCTCGGACTTCTCTCCATGGACATCCAAGCTGGGTGTTTTCTTAACAAAGAGGGGGCTTTAATGAAAGCGACGTTTACTGATTATCAAATTTCTTGAAATTTCATTCAGCCGACAATCGTCTTTGTCCGGTTAAGCATTGATTGTGCAAGGATCGTGTCTCCTTCCTCAAGGAGGACTGTTGTTCAATGGAGTTATGTTCTCAAATGATAGTGAGCTAACAAGCTGACAAATTAACAAAGTTGACGAGGGAAGACAGAAAATTGTTTGCTTGTGTCTGATTTATTTGTTTACTCGCTTTAGCCATCCCTTCCCATATCTTTGCTTCCTCTCAGCAACGAAAGAAAAAACGTAAGGGAAAAAAACCTCTTAGTACCAACCTCGGATTAACAGCCACCCCGTCTCCTTCCTTCAACATGCCGAAGTCTTAGAGTTTATGGGTTTCTTTTTTCTCGCCAACTTAATTGGGCCAACTGGAAAGCATTTTGGGTGCAAGATTCTTCAGAAGAGGTTAATTGCACTAAATTCTTATAATTCATTTCAATTTAGGCAATTCCACCAATGAACTTTTCCTCTGTAGTCGGAAAAATGCGACGAAAAATCCTCACTGATCAAAGACTTCGACGAAACAGACTCATAAAAAGAATTTTTAGCTTAAAATAAGAAAGCTCAGTAATTGGTGAAATATTCTGCCCATTTTCTGAGTTTTTGTACGTTCGCTGAATAGATAATAACTGCAAATGAGACGGGTGACGTCATACTAACATATCCGTCCTTGTTAATTTGAGGGTGTACATTTTGTGAACGGCACTCTTTATGGCGATGGAAGGTAAGTATTTGGCAATGTAACATGCAGCATAATCAGAATAGCTGAGTCTAGGAGAAAACTGCCCTTAGCAATTTGTTCGATTTTTTAATTTGCCTTTTCTTTGTTAAGAAAACATCCAGCCACGATTTTGATGGGGATAATTTCGATCACACAAATCGCTTGAATTCCTCAAACGCTCAAAGATGGAAGCAAAACTACCAAACAAACAACATCATATGTGGCCAATTTATAAATACTCTTTTTAAACAAATATCATGCCTTCGAGCTATGAGATCCTTGAGTGAAATAATATTCAGGTCACTTTAGTTGAGATTATTTAATTGACATTCATTCGATCAGCCCAAGGCCAACAACTTGACCGTTTATTCAAAATTCTGGTACATTTTTGCACTAAACGCTTTGATAGTGAAGAGCCGGCCAGCCTCTCTGAAACATCAACAATACAGTTCCCTTGATCCTGTGAGCACTTCTGTTTTTCCTCAGATTATCGACCCGGATCTCCTACGTTTAATAACTTGAACTTTTAAATAAAACGGGATGAGACAGGTGCATGGTCCCTAGTCGAATTTTTTATAAAATTCGAAAATTAAGGAATCGCAAACTTTTGCTGTCCAAGGGCAGTTTTATCGTAGGCTCAGTTTTTCTGATTATGCTGCATGTTACATTGTCAAGTACTTGCATTCCATCAAAGTGAAGGGTTACAGTACGAGTTACAGTACGACTTTGCAGAGCGACGGCGTGTAAGGAAGAACAAGTGTCTCGAAATAATGTTCAGAAAAACATTTATTTTTCGGAGAGAATGTCTGATGATCGCTTTTTTAAATGAGGTCATGTCATTAACTTCATATAGCCTTAGTCTTTTCTTGTTGAGTTCACCTACGTTTATAGGTTACGTTCCTAGTATAGCATGTTGATGTCATAATTCATACGTTATTTCTTTGCGCCTGTTTGCACGTGTCGTACACCTCTGTATAACAATGAAACTACCAAAAATTACTTTTCTCCAAGTCCCGCAAAATATCACGTTTAATCACAGCCTCTATTGCAGGCCTTCCCATATTTCAGGACTTGGGATATATCATTAATCAAAAGATTAAATAGTAGAAAAAAGAAGCTACGAAGAGTCCCAGCAATCGTGTAAGAAAAGAGGGCCTCCATCAGATTTCGCTTGCATGTCTTCCTTTCGTCTTTTAGGTTTCCCCCGATTAGATTAAACGTACCGACTGAATAACAAAAGGAGAAGTTAAGTTTTTGTCCACAATTGCACACCACAGAGACGAAATTGCTACCTTAATTATTTTAAGACAAAGTCTCTGCTTTAACTGGAGTACTAATCTGCGAAAGCAACGTGGTAAGTTATCAGGGATTATGCCATTTGACGTAGCTTTTTGAGTTGGCTCTAAAGCTAATATGACCTCCAATGAAACTTCCAAAGTCGTTTTTTTCATTTTGGAGGTACCTCCAGTTTTTGATAACTGGCCAGGCGTATGTGAAAGCAGTCTGCTTGGTGTTGGCTTTCGAGCAAAAACAAAGATTGGATACCGTCTTTTAAATGTTCAGCGACTTAGAACTGTTGATCGCATTATAGCCGCGAATCTTTCGATTCTAAAGACTTTCAATGTTATGGTCAGTGCACATAAAACTATGCATATGTATAAGCAGCATATTTTGATTTTTAAATGTTCAGTTTTAATACTATGTCACCATCTGGCAAACAAACTAATGTGCTCCCACTTTTTAATGTTCCTTAATGACATCGTCCGCGCTTCTGTGCCCTTGAAGTAAACGGAGTTCTCACTTTACCTGCTGCATTTTCGCCCGAAATGTGTTGTGGTGGCGAGGGATTTCGAAAGGAATATTGTCCATTCCAAAATAAGAACACATTTTATTTACTCAGAATATCAAAATCAGACCGTTGGGTTTATTTTAACCCTTTGCAAACCATCAATCGCGTCGGTGTCTCACTGTATACACTTAAAGTGAACTATACGCCTTACCGATCCAAGCTTGAGGTATTCCTCGATGACCCACTGATAAGAACGACGCTTTGGCCTCATCGGCGTTGTTGCTGTCTGCAGCCTACCAAATATGCAAGCAAAAAACGAATTGGAGGAGAGGGTTGAGGACCGTCAGGAGATCAGGATTCAGATTGTTGACTGTTTGCCCTTTGCTATTCTGCCCTTCCTCATATTACCGTAAAGAACAAATTCCTGGCATGCAATCTCGAGACGTCAAAAAAGATTTCTGGCAGAGATCTTTTTTCCTTATGACACCTTCGGCAGCTTGATTTATTGTCAACTAGAAAGGCTATTCGGCCGCTGGAACGTGAAATTTATTTCCTTAACTTTTTGAATTTGCGTTTGAAGCCGTAATTCGAGACAGCCGTAGAGAGGGGCAACTGACGAAGAAAAGTACGAAGTATAGATGTGCAGCAGTTTCATTGGGACCATGGAGTCACTGAAATTAGTTGTTCAATCGCAGATGTTCCTCATTGGTGCGGCTATCTTTCGGTTAGCACATATGAGTAGACGGCAGCCGTGTTTTGATTCCGGGTTTTCGTGGTTGGCGCACATTGGCTTACCATTGTTATCAGCTGAGCCAATACTCATTCGTGCTCCCACCATTTAAGTGGAGAGAAAGGAGGTGATCGCGTTTGTTGAAAAACCTTGCCGAGAGAATTATGGCTCAAGACTTTCGAGCTTGTTGAATTTGAAAGTTTGCCAGGTCCCATTTACTTATATGTAATTGGATACCTGACGGTTTCCGCCTCGATAATAATCTGTGGTGGGTCATTAGGCTCTGAGATAATTCTCAAGCATTTAACTTGTCTGTAGTTGCAAGTACATCAGATTCAGATGTTTCTCACTGCGTCGCCGGATCCCTCGGCCCAAGTTGCGGGTGGCGTGAGGAGGCGGATGCCTATTTCTCAGTAACTCTTCGTGTAGGGAAGTGCCGGGAAAATTCGCTGTCTCGTTCAGCCTGATTCTGCATGCACTGGTTGGCGAAGTTGTCATTATCCCCCTACGAGAAATACTCGTTGAACGTATATCGATTATTCAAGCTTAAGAGTTGCCAAACTCCTCCTCACAAAGGCGCCTTAAAAGGCCGGTGTGGCTCATCCACACAATTGAATCGGTGGCCGATTGAGTGGCTGTCGTTAAAAACCCAGCCCCCTCGTCATATTTGTCGTTTTCCCGAACATATTGGTTTTTAGGCTACCTCACCGTTTACGGTAAACCAGGACTTCATGAAATGCCCTCGACCACTTGGTCGGGACTTTAACAAATGAAACACACATTTGAACGCCTAAACTTGTGGAATATTTCCGAAGGCTGCATCAAACGTCATTTGATGTACTCATACGTAAAAATTTAATGTATTGGTCAAGCTCAACTGTCTTTAGACACTATTTTCAAGCCAACTTTACGGAAATAGACTGATATTTCAAAAAAATGTTCTTTTAAATGCAACGAAGTTCTCAGACTACAGAAGCGGAGTCTCAAAATAAAACTGACTAGTATGCACTGCTGGCCCATTAAAATGTAATATCGTGGATGTACTAGAAAAGAGTTAGCCAAGTAATTCATTCATCGGAATTTTCCGCCTGACTAGACACCGCGTTCAGAAACCATCATGCCTGCCGTCGATATTTTCAATATACGAAGTAAAGCATTGTATATTTTCTAGTAACCCGACACCTGTCAGAAATAGTTTCAGCGAATACTGGCCGCGTATCTGCTGATCCTGCTCTTTTTGCAGACACTCACATGCGCTAGCCCGATCACTGTACTATGCTTTGGCGCGTGCCGATAGCGTACTCTCACAAGAGGGGGGGGGGGGAGCGGAATGCCTCGTGAGCTGATCTGAATATTTTTTGGATCATTGAACAGACGTTCACTGCGGTGCGTTAAAAGCTGTGGTTTCGACTGTCGCCCACTGACAGGAAAACTGGGTCATGATCTGGGGCTGATCAGACTGCAAAGGCTCGTTCCTAATTCGGCCACTACGGCATTCCCACTCAGCTGGGGGTTCGAGCTGCTTCTTTCTCGTTTCGGTGAAATCCTGGTCCATCGTGCGCCAACCAGGCGTGTCTGACACGCGCAGTTGTGCTTTTTAGCTTTGTCAGCCACTGCGCCTTATCCCGCCTCCGGCCTTCTTGACTCTGTCTTGCCACCTAGCCCAGGTGGGTCTAGGAGGGGATTGAAGTGCATATTGAGCAAGTTTACCAGCACTATAAACTAGCTTTCGAGTAAGTCACTATCCCTCCAACCATCCAACTGTAGGCCATGTCACGGACGTCGTTGATAACTACGGTCAAACTGTCAGATAGACTTTAAACTCCCCATCTAATATGGAATTTTAGCGACCTTCTGTGGTGAGTGATACTTGGAACCTCGGTGCCTCCCTCACACCTGCCTCCAGCTCCGAGCTTGCTGTCTAAATTTCTACATCAGGCTTTAACTCTGTGGAAGAATGATAGGAAGTCATCCACCCGACAACGAAAGTCGTCTCAAAGGAGAACTATGACTGCAAAACATTTCTCCACTCGCCACTTTTGTTGTCATCTTACTTCCACGGACTGTTGACTTCTTACATGCACATTCCGTTCTTAATTGAGAGTTCCGGTTCGGATAGTAAACTAGTGGATTGATAAGAGAAGGGAGGGGTCGACTCCAGGGACTCCATCCCTGTAACACATCAGCGTACTGGTCCTTATAATAAATCTGACGCACTTTGAAGCTATCACGACGTGACCTGGAAGGCCGCCAAATGACGGGACAACTAGACCCTCGTAGTCAGTACCGTATGTTCATGGGAGGTGAGTGGCTGGCTTGCTGAGGGGCAGACTCAATGGGTTCTTCTTAATGCAGTATTCATCTCACTCTCATGGATGTGAGATCTGAGGCACCCTTCTTTTGTTCCGTGAAAACCTGGTACATTGTGTAGCGCCCATGCCGCATGTTTTACCGGCTACTGCGTCCGATCCCGCCTCGGGTGGCGCTGAATTAGCTTTTTCACCGGGCTCAGGTGAGTGTGGGAGGGGAGACTGTGGCAAATGCAGCGCAAGTCTGCCATCGCTATAAACTGATTCACGTGCAAATCACTTTTCTGCGTCAGCTGTGATGTTCAGCACACGATGGCAACATCGTTTGCGACAATCGAATTGACGCTCTTATTTTAGTTGATTATTGATCATATTTTGACAAGTGTGGCTACTCATTGTTGTACTAATCTTCAGTTTTCCTCTGAGGAAGGAGTCGCCGGACAATACTTTATGCATGAGTGAGCTAAGGTAAAATGTCGAAAAGAAGTATGCTCAAGTGTAGATCCTACTGCTCTTTTTCAATGGGCCTAAATGTGCTCGTGTATCCGAAAATTAATTTCATTAAATTCCATGTTTTACAGCATATCTTCTTCAGATTATTAGTTGTTGTTTACTGGCTTCCTTTGGAACCACCAAAAATCCTGATAAGCCTTCTTTGACGTCTATCAGTTTCCGTTCTTCATTTCTTAAATCATTTTTTTTCTGATTTGCCCTTTAAGAATTTTCTCCGAGTACTACTCATTTCAAAGAACTAATGAACTAGAAAAGTCATTGCTTCATCCATTTTTAGCAATAATCGATGGCGCCGCTCCTGATTACGCTCACTACTTACCTGTTCCATGTATACTAAAATTTTCGCAGTTGCAGATTTAGTAAAGCTTATATATTATTTGTTTAACAGCCTTCTTGCTAAACGGAAAGAAATTCCTAGATTTTGTTTATGTACTACTAAAGAGGGCCATTTCTGCTATGTGTACAGAGAAATATGGACGCAAACAACACTTTACCTGGTGAGAATACAGTGGGTTGGCTAACTCATGGAATGTCAACCGAAATTCCGAAATGTGTTTTCGTTTCGAAAAGATTAATTAAGCATGCTAGTAAAACTAGTCAGCCTGCAACATAATTCTATAATATTTCAGTTACCTCAGGATACCAACTTTCGAACGAACTTCCTTCCGGCTGCATGCCAAAACGACACTCTGTAAAAATGACTACTTATGTAGCATGAATTTTTCTCCTTGATATTCGATGCCCCTAAAAGTCCAATTATATTTCATGGAAAAAATGCATAAACATATTCATTCTTTTGCTCATTCGATAGATAATTACGTCTTCTTCTAGTTTTACACTCGAAGAAGAGACATAATTCGATTTTAAAAAGGTTTCTAATTGTGAGACTTTTAAATACCGTGAAATGGCCGTTCATAAAACGCATGTCTCTGCATTTACCAATATGGCTTGTAAATCTAACACTATGAATCAAGTCCACTGCTAAATTCTATGAATCCTATATGGTTCCCCTTTATTAGCTTAGGGAAATGTGTGGTTTACCGTACGCGGAAAATATACGGCTTGTAGTTTCGAAACCCTGAATCCAAGTGTGACGGTAGAGTGGATTCAAAATTATTCGGGAATTGGAAAACTTTTCTTAAACCGAATTATGTCTTTCCTTCGAGTGTAAAACTAGAAGAAGACGTAATTATCTATCGAATGAGCAAAAGCATGCTTAATTAATCTTTTCGAAACGAAAACGCATTTCGGAATTTCGATTGACATGCCATGAGTTAGCCCACTTACTGCATGTTTGCGCTTACTGCGATGCAACTGTTCGGAAAACATCCACTGAATTATGGGCATGCTACCACTTCTGTTTTTTTTCAAATATCTCTCGGATATGCATCGTTTCCTAGAAAGAACATTTTCGTAAGTTAGCATCCTGTAGTACTCGACACCCACTACATTTCATATTTTGAGCCAAAAACTAAGTGAAACAGAAAGATATATATGTGTATAACGTATTTTATGTATATTTTTGTACAGATGTTCGTGTGATATGATGCACGATTGTGCTCTGCATGAATCTTCTTCGACTTCCCGGAACAGATTTGGTTGAGGAAAATATGAGACGCAAACACATCTCATAAGGAAAAGACGAAAAAGTCACATCTGCCGAGTATAAGCAGAAGAAGTCAGCAAGAGCTTTCCCTTTTTATGTGCTCTGCGAAGACATAATGCTACTTGCATATGCAAGTCATCTAAAATTATATAAACATGCTTGAGAGCATGCAATAGAATGTCCTGACTTTACGAAACGCGAATCCTACTGAACCGGACGGACGCAAAATCTGTGCTTTAGAACAAATAGGGCTTGTGCTTTTTACAGGCTGAAAGGATGAGCTGCCGTAAGTGTTCATTTTGGGGAAGACTGCAACTATAGCTTGTTGTCCTGTTGGGCCGAAAGGCAGCTGCAAATCCCACAGGCTCTGCTCCACCAGGATCTCTGAAAAAGAGGGGATTCGTTCCGGCAGTATCCTGTGTGGTGAGGTGTCTTTTTCTGTTTGGGGTTGAGTCGACTTTGTTTTTGACCTTTCCGACAAAGCTTGGCAGAGTGCCTGAAGAATTTAAACCTTTGGATGGGAGAGCCGTCTGTCAGACTGTCGGTGGATTTCACTGTAAGAGAAGGAAAGACAGTAAAACGCCAAAAAGAAAGGAATAAGGATTTCGTTGACCGGTGGGTTGATCTTAAGGACTCTCTTTTCGATATGGAAGTTCGCTTAGTCCAAGCTCTAACCTAATTATTTATCAGGGGCAGATGCGTCAGAAATAGCTAGTTCAGACTCATCATACTTCCCTATGCATTTGGACCTAAAGTAAAGTGCTAGCCAAGTCATGAACTTTGAATAGAGAAGAATGATGTGTTCTTTTCAGAAAATTTTGGCCCATCTCATACCGAAAGTGTAATAATTTGGTATAGAAAAACTGGCGTCTTTAAGTGCTCTCGAAATAGACTGATTGATTAATTGTGTTGTGGATAAAATTAGTGATAAAACACCTCAAGGGTCGTCGCTACTTTCTCGGATGAGCTAGTAATTATGATGCGGAACTCCAGAAATGCGCCTTCAAAACAAAATCGCATACGCGCGAGATTAGAGGGAGCAACGAGCAATTCCAAAGATTTATTCAAAAAGGGATCCAGATTCCGATATTTATTAATTTTGAAAGCCAAGTTAAGGGAGTCTTGTTCTGACGGTTCATTTACATAAATGCGTAACTTCATATCATCCGGCTCCAACAGACGTGCCTATGAAGCTTTTATTTAAGTGAAGAGATAATAAAAACACGTACTATCTATCATTTCGAATAAGCCATATGCGGAATGCAACTATCTTTTTGACTTTTAATGCATTTTGTCACAACATCCATGTTACGTGAGGATATAGATAGAAATTCAGGAGATTTCTCATAAACTGGATGACTGAGTTTTAGACGAAGTTGTTATTTTTGCCTGGACACTCACTTATGAATACTGGTCTGCCTTGATGAAACAGTTTACCTGCTCAGCAGAAACTAAATTCCCTTTGTCATTGATTTGTGCTAGGTAATAACGCCGTATGTCGACTATGCTTGCGTGTTCTTAAAGCAAATAAGGTTTGGACGTTAATAGCAATGCAATTTGTTTTCCTCGTTTTTACACTGGTGTTTAGTAGAATTCCCAGAAAAAAATGTGTCTTCCAGAAACTGTACAGGTTACCATAACTTACAAGTGCTTTATCAACTAACGAGACAAAGTACGGTATCTCTGTTAGTGTCATTAACGAACACTTTGCGATGTTTTGCATGGCTTGTAGACAAACACATTTTATGAGGGGAGTAGGTTGCAGGAACTCGGAAAATCCAATGTTTTCAGCAAGGGGAGTTATTTTCACTTGAGGAGGGCCATTTCTACCTATGCTGTCATATGGAAGCTTCTGGCTACAGCATATCTAGCATTCTACGTTACAATGAGCAGTTGCGCACTCAGGGCTTCAGTGAGCTGCAGGGTCAGGATTCCACTGTAAAAATTGAGGTGTCAGCTCCCATCATGCAACCAGTGCAAATCAGCGAACTTCCCTCTCATATAATTTTGTAAATTCCTGATTCCAGTGGACAGAGGGCGAAACCGGTATTTCAAGTTGACAGAGCGTTGAAAATGAATTCTCAAGGAACTAATGTAATCGACTGAAAATTTTTAACGCATTCATGCCAATGGTTTGGATATCACCGGTTGATGCTAGTCAATGAAACGAATGCGACCCTTGCACCAATCCTACCTTCTGCCGGTAACACCTTCCGACGCTGTACTGTTAACTGCTCAGTAGATAATAGTTTCAATACCTCTGTTACACTTGGTGTTTCTCTTTATTTGACAGTTTGCAGCTCTTGATATTAACGACTGGTTTTTGACTTCACTAGGGTTGAGGAACAGTCCTTGCGTGACAATTTTTCGAACTTTTGTACATATTGTATTCGTAAGTCAAAATTTAATTAATTAGTAAAAGCTGTTAAACAGGGCTTGGGTGCATTTAACATCTAAAAGTCTAAACGAGGCTAAGGAGCAGACATACACCTACTGAACAAATGACGCCAGATATATTTTTGTGTGCCGCAGTTTTTTTTCTTGACAAAACATCTGTGAAACGGCGGACGACTTATTTCGGCTATATTCCTAAGCTTACACGGACACTAGTCTGACTGTTACAAATGGCGAAAACACACTATCAAACCATGTCCGTTCTTTGACAGAATCCCACCGGAACACCCAGACCACTTTTTATTCACAGCATTCTGTTTATCTGAATCAAGGCAACTAGGTGCGCAATTTAATCAGGGGATGGTGATCGGTTAGTTGTAGCATCAAAGGTTTTTGTCGTACTGCATAAGATCAAACGCAATAGCCACTGATTCATATGGTGGATAAATGTAGTCGTAACAGTTCTGGGGTGAGGTACGAGATGTAACTTCAGAAAAAACTGGCATTCCGAGCCACTGCCGCGGTAAACCTGTTCTGAATGAGCCTCCCAATTCTTCATGTAGTGCCCTTCAAACTCCTTCAGTGTATGTACTCTCAGGCCAAATTTACGCTCTTCAGGTTGTCCTGCACCACCACCTAACGCAGTCTCAGCTAGCGATCGAATATTGCCTTGCTGTCTCTCTGCCACATAATACGCGGGCTGAATCCTTAAAAAGTGAGTGAGCACTGCTTTGTACAAATGTCCGAAAATTTGGCAAGCTGCTTTTCAAACCTATGGCGGCAGACAGTACGGATTACTATTATTTTGCGACTCGACGCTTCCTGCGAGCATGAAACCTGTACTTGCGGTTTCAGTGACCATTAATTGCATTTTCTCTTCGCGGTTGATTGCCGATATGTATTTAAGTATTTGTGAAAACATCGTTAGCTAAGAAGTAAAGCCCATTGAGGATGAGAGGCGGGCTCGGATGTAATGATTAAGTATGCTAATTCTAACGATTTACTGGGTCTACTGTCAACATCGCCATCAGGTCTCCAGGGCGCTAATATTGCCCTTTCCTTTGACATCCACGTGGATTTGAAGTGGTACTAACCTACCCTCTCTGGTCTCATTTCTCTTCTCCCTTTCCATGCTTCTTTTTCCAAGAAAATTATGCAGACAATTACTCAGCCGGTCGCTTTGTCTCTAGTAGTTTTTACTTATGGAATATTACAAATTATACTGTTGGAGATTTTCTCATTTTATGAGACGAATTACGCTAGATCATTCCACGCTGATGCTGATGAATAGAGTTCCGGAAATCATGATAGTTGACAGTCCATTTCCGCATAAAGCTATTCCAGTGCACTTTAAAATCTAGTATTCATCACTCCCAAAAATCCGAAAATTAGGCGACTTGAATTTTTTAGTGGGATTAGTATTTTCTTGTCAGATATTATCGGTTTAGTTATTGCCTCAACAGGCAATGTTCAGGCATTCTACTTTAATTAACCCGCACTGTAATGTTTTAGAAATGCCGACATCTATTGCGCAGACCCATTTACGTAAGAACATAAGGCAATATTTTTCTCCTCACGTTTTAGCGGAGGTTTAAATTGGCATTCTGTTAAATGGAAATGGGGACCTTTTTGCGGAACATAATTAAAATTTTAGAATGCATGTACTGGTTTACTGGCTGTTATCAGAGCCCATTGTCATCCTATGGGGTGTTTGAATACATCCCCCAAAATAGCAGCCCTGCAGGTGCGTTGATCCAGGAAGGCAGTCGGTCTGGCACGTGACACGCGCATGCCGGATCACAATGGGATCTTAAATACCGCCGTACATGAAGGTTGCGTGAGCGTTAGACAGGGACTTTCTTACTAAGTCAGCCACGACGCCCCATCTCATCACCAATTGGTTGGCGGCATCAGACAATCAACTGGTATATAGAAAAGGAAATAGGAGAGCGACGCTGAGGTATCCATCCCGGCGGCAAATAAGTGCATTTGTCACAAGAATAGATCGAGACGCTTGAACATGTCATGACGCGTCATCGGTCGTCGCCCGAAGGCCTGCGCCCGATGGGACACCTCAACTGTTTTCTGGAATGGGGGTTATGCTCCAATGTCTCCTTTGTAGTGCGGCCTTTGTAGCACTTTCTGATACGCTAGATCCGAGACCATGCCCACAAAATAAAACCCGGTACTTTAGCTCTGAGGACCATTTTGTGTGTGACACGCGCAGACCGATGGTTTAGCTTTGTCAGTCACTGAACACGCGCCCGCCCCAGATCGTCTTGACTCCGTCTTCGCGTCGGAGGGCGATGTGCGTAAAAGGAAAGAAGAAGATAGCTGCAGCCACAGTCCGCTTAACAATGATGAGACTCATGCACAACTCATTGCTGGACTCGCATTGGAAGGCAGCGATAAATCTGGTCGTTCGGGTTGGTCGACAAATTTTTTGTGCAAAAAATTTAGAAATTGGAGAATAGAATATTTTATGAGGTAGAAAGAATCTAACCGAATTCTTGTTTGGCGGTTTAACTGTTTGGTTTAGCGTGCTCTCGATAACTTTGACGTTGCATCGTTTGTTTCCCTGTCCGATTTTGAGCCCTTCGCTGTCATTCGAATAAGTTTTTGTATTCAGACGCTGCTGATTTTCACAGCTGACACGCCAACACGCTTTACTGGAGTTGCTTTTGGAGTAGTTGCGTCTCTTTTCCTTTGCACTGCGCATTAAACTGCCTGTACGCCAAGGGGAATTGCATGTGTGTATGCTTATTTGAACGTGAGTGGTTCAGATTTCCTGGCAGTTAGGAAGTGACTTGTTCTTCTATATCGTCCTTTGGTGGAATTTTTACACTGATTCAGCGAAGAGCTTTTTTCTGAACGCCCTAAGCTCATGTCCATATTCCACACCATACGTATTTACTTGCTCAGTGCGGGGCATGTTACTTTGGTGCCCGTTGGACTCCATAAATGTGCATAAATCTCTAACGGCACCTCACAGCGCCATTGACTAAACACGTTTACTCGGATAAAACATTTTATCTCCCTCAGCAGACCATGAATATTCTTCTCCTCCATCTCCTTTTGTACAGCTGTCGAGTGCACAATGCTGTAGGTTGTCTAGAAGGCTGGTTCGAAAAAAATACTATTGACAAACAATCACAGTTGTCTACAGAGTCAACTGTCTAGTCGGTTAACACCACAGTCGTTAAACCCAGGTAGAAGGGCGTGGTTTCCACGTAAAATGTTCTGGGTATTCACCGCACCTAATGGGCAAGCAAAGGCAATGGGAAATGAACTAGATTAACCGACAGTGTAGAAGCCAAAGCGGGTGGGTTGATGACTCAGTCTAACGCAGCTCCGGCTGAGTCATTTGAGGCAATTCAGGACGACCTTGTCGTCCCGTAAGCGGGTGAGCCCACTTGCGCGATGCCGCGGGAAAGTGCGTGATCTCCGAGCCTCCGGGTACATGCCCCCTGTGTCGTCGTGGCAACAACGCGCGTGTCACCAACCTGAGCGGTTGATGTGGCTGGAAATCCCACCCAATCGTTAAAATAACGGTGACAGCTTTCCTTCCGACTGAAGGGCTCTGGGGTGATAACCATAAATAAGCGGCTGTTGTTTTATACGAGACAACACAGCCTTGGTGTGAACCGGCAGTAAGGCAGCTGTGCAAACATTGCCTACTGAATTAGTTAGCGGTAATCGGCCCATATTTAGTATTCTAACGCTGCAAAAGGCAATGTCCCACTTCTATAGACATTTGGGCGATCACGTGACCCTGGAGCTGCCGCCTACCTGCTTATAAAAGCATTTCGTCGAAAATAAAAATAAATCCCCTGTTTTTTTATCATGATCATATTCTTGGAAAGCCATAAAATTTAACTCCTAAAAACAGCGTTAATCGTAATAATGGCTTTAATCAGGCAATGCTGACTTTATAAAATACTCCCATTTATAGAAAGGCCACTAAATGCGGTTAGACGTCAAATCATGGTTTAAAATGTTTTCCATTAAATGTCTTCAATAAAAATTACCTATTCATCTCACTACATAAGCCTTAAAATGAGAGATAAGTTGGATGCAAAAGTGAGGGAAAATGCTTTGTCTGTACTCGTTCCTGATAAGAATATTTTCCAACTACTGGCCAGTTCTATTTTTAAACTGAAAAACTGAACAGAGCCATATGTCACCAAATTACGGTTCATGCCTTCCTGTGTTTGAGATTTTGCTTTTGGGGTTATTCCAGGACAAAAGAGACAAAAAAGTGCCTTACTCCATGGTCATATTCGCTTTTCAAACGTCAAAGGCTTGCTAGATTCCAGTTTAATTTAGCTCATAGCATAAGCACACCACCTCGATGCCATTTATTTCACTTTTTCCAGACAGAATTATTCAGGACTACAAATTCAACCCGCGCCTCTAAGGATGCATATATTTTCTTACTACTCTTATTTTTTACGTAGTAACGGTCAAAACATCCTCTAGGAACCGCGCGTTGTGTGCAAGTAGGGATATAAATGGTTAGTGAAAAACAAAGCTGCGCGTGCAAGTCATAATAAGCTCTAAGTTTTCCATTTTCATCAGACTTAGATATATTTTAGTGTGAAAGTATCTGGGGTCAGGGTAGAGGGAGGTCACTAGGAGCCGCTGAGCTAGAATTTAGGTTATTTTACTTTAAACGCCCGAAGTATAGCAAAGAGTATAGACGCCTATGGAAGTGTAAGGTCTTCCAGAAGTAAAGTGATCGTTATAAAGCGCTACAGAAAACCGTAATGACATTTGTCGTATAGTCAAAGTTAGCATAGCTTAAGTACACCCTACTGCACTTTCTGCATCTGTATTAAACAGGAACTCCAGATAACCTTGATACATTGCTTTTCCTAGAAGTTAGGTGTGAGACACCCATTACAATGGTTTGTTGTGTCTGGAATTTAAGAGTTTGCCGCATTAATTGTGAATTGTTAGGAAAGAACTGCCATTCATGGAAGCCAAAAGATAATTTTAGTGCTAATTGTTTGCATACTACACAGGTAACTGTTTAGTTGAAGGCTACGAAGGCAAAAGTAGCTGTTGGCTTTGAATGATTGTTTCTCGAGAACAATATGTACTTTTAAACACCTCGAACAAGGGCAGTACAGTACATGCCACCGTAAGGCTCATGTAGGCGTCAACAACGCGCTGTTATTTCGTTGAGGTGAATAATATTCAATTCGAATCTTACTAGATAGAAAGTGGGCACTAGAAGTGGGCTTGATTTGCTGGATTTCTATGGCTTATCTCCATGATGCGGCGGAATATCGGCAATACACCCGAGTCTGGGCTTTTAGCTAATATATGTGCTGCTAGTATGTTGTCTTCCAACGCTAAAATAATTCGAAATACCATGCGAATAAAGTTTTCTTTCCGGCGATCAACTCTCCATTTTTAAACTACCTCCCGAAACTCGTTTGTATCACCCAACAACTTCGTGCAGAATTATGACCTTTATAGTAAAATATTTCCCAACAGTTTTCAGAACTTGATCGTGAAATCCACAGAGTGGGAAGCTTGGATTTATAGTTAGGTCATATTATTCTAACTTCCTACACCCAACAAAGGCTGTTCTCTGTCTAAAACCTGTGGCTTTCGGTCATGACATCGAATACACGACTGAACTTTTGCTAGGTATTTACACCTGACGTTGAAGGACATAAAATTAGAATTTTACCTTGAAAAGTGTTGTCATTTAGTCGCAAAATAGCTGTTGAGACCACAGTCAGACTCTGTGGCTCTAAATTGACAAGACAGCAAGGTGGAAAGCTGAGCCGTAACTTCAAACTTGTCCCGCGTAATGTTTTTGTTCCCATAGGTAGCATTTTCTCTTGAGTTTTGTGGTTGTCATCAACAGTACATGTGTATTTGTAGATTTAAAAAAGGGCAATTATTAATATCCAGGACTTACGCCAACAGTAAAACTGGTTAGGAATCTTAGTAAGGCTGATTTTTGCTATTGTAGAATGCCCCATTGAAAAGTTCCAAATTAATACAGAGCCGGCAGGTTAAATTGCGCATCACTGTTAGATCTAAAAATTCTATCTAAATGCTCCGATGCCCATACAGGATTCAAATATTCAGACTCCTGTGTTTTAAACTGGACTTTTCTGCACATTAACGAGCTTCCAAACTTTGTGTCTTTTACCTGAAGTTGCCGCGCAAAGCATTTTCGATCTTCCAACGCTTCGAACGTTTGTTTTATTCGTTAGCATGTTTTAGCCCTTAGATCTTGTCATTTATTTAAGGCCTCACACTGATACATATTCTTCAAGGTTGCTTAACTAGAAGTAGATTCGGTAAACAAATAATGTTCAATAGTTTGCTCGCTTTTTGAAAAATCCTCTAAACATGCATTCTTTCAGGTGACAGTGATTGCAACAAAAGGCCTACCTTAATTTGCGTAGTTGCTTTAAGTAACGAATAGAAAAAAGCGTTTTCGGACGAGCCTACATGAATTTTGTGCACTTTCGCTACAAAATTGTGAGACATGGAGGCCGATTCGTGTAGGCACTGGCCATCCTAGAAGTGGCAGACAACTATCGGCAGGATCTTCTGTGCTAAGAGAAGAAGGGCAATTAAGATTAGCCGTAGCCATGCCAACCGAAGACTTAGCAGCGACAGCAGTTAAAAATATGGGCTCTTGGTGTACACGCGCGCACCGTATTTCCCCCTCCACATGTACATTGTCCTTTATTTTCTTCACTTTAAACACATTGTGCTGTGTTTCTGTCCCAGTTTTTAAATGAAAAGGAGAGCTCGAGACGGCAATAGAGGAGAAGAAGCTTCAATCGTCAGAAAAACGTTTTTTTCGCATGACGTAAAACCCCTTCCATGACCATTCAACGTATGACACGGACCACAAGCTACTTCAAGTTAGTTGGGATCCCACACCCTACTGTTGCCCACATAACGTCTCGGGCAAACAAGCAGTCATCCTACCAAATACGACTCCTCAGCAATGGGTGCGGCGTTTAATGACAGTGATATCCTACGAATACTGATTTCCTTGTGTTTTTAATCACTATTCTCTGCAACAGTCAAAGACGGATAAGATTCCCGTTCGGGCGACCGCATCTTCTCCTTTTCAACTGCATTCTACGCTTTCGTCTAAAAACGCGCTTCCTTTCACTCAGGCGCGGAGATTTGCGTGAGGCCAGCAGTTATTTTGCTATGAATAAGGCGTGCATAGTCCTGCTCCCAGTTCTTCGATTCGTTCATCTTCAGGAAGCTCTTTAGATCTCCCTATATCATGGTAACCACCGCACGCGCAAGCACTGAGAACTGCCGTCCAAATACTTTAAAAGGCAGCCTACTTTCCGAATGCGAAGTATGTTTCGTACAGAAATTCCTTTAATATTCTGACTACCATATGCGCTATCGATAATGTCAAGGAGCGTAATAACATGCTCCCACTATCGTACAGAAAAATGGCCTGAAGGCAAAAAGCTGTTTTTACGTTAAGCCAGAAAAAGAGGTCAAAACGTCTTTTTCCCAAAAGTGGTACTATAATCGAGCTTATTCCATGCATGACTTCCTCGGCATCTGCTCAGGTCAAAGTACGGGTCCAGTGCGTGCGGAATCTCGCAAAAATAATTCTACACGTCGCACAAAGCGAGGTGGTTTGCGAGTCATTTGTCATTACAGTGCCCACACAAATATGATTTTTGCTAAGAAGGACATTGACAAAACGAAAAACTAGAACCATCAATAGTAATTAACTCATGATATTTGATTTGGTAAAGGATGCCTGTAGGCCGAGACTTTTCAACTGTAAATATGTGAAAAATAGGCCATTTAAGGAAATAGTTCAAGAGCTGAAACGTCTATTGCTGTTGAAAATCATCTGTTACTGCCTAACCAGTATTACCATTCGGCAGTAGGTCTTTCTATAACTAATTTGGGTTAGCATCCATTCGAACTATTCGCCTGCCTTCTTATTTGTTGATCGCGGAAAAAGTGCAGAGCATACGTTTAACGAAATGTTTGTCCGATGAAACAAAATTTGCATTTAATTCTGATTATATGTCCCAGAACAAATAAACTAGCAGAGAGCCTTTTTACGTAAAACAGTAGGATAATACGATCTTTAGTCTCGGCATCGAACCTCCGAGGTTAAGACGTAAACACAAATGCAGATGCTAAACTAGCCCAAGAATCTGTCGCGCAGACAAGTCCAGACAAACGGTAATGCCAGATCTTCAACATTTGTTTTTATAGAATACCCGTCATACCAAAAAGCATCTAGGCAAACAGCCGCAAATGAGAGAAGCAAGAGCTGTGTAGAAATTGATGAAGAAGACGTTACTGTTACTATGGCCTGCACAACGGAACCTTTCGGAATAGCTCTTATTTGCCCTAGCCCAGCTGAATGGAGTGGTGATTAAATCACTAAAAAATTTAAAATATTTGTCTGGCAAAAAAAATAATTGCCTAGGTTCTAGATGATTCCCCAGGCTTCCGTGTTAGCAGTTTTTGTGTTCCCATTGCCATTGTCCTTGACTATGCGAGGCTTTCTCTGACTGTACTCTTGGCTACCGTAATGCATTTTTAACAATAATCTCTCAAACTTTTAAGGAAACCTATCAAAACCATTAAGCTCAAGGTGTGAGCAGTCAATGACCTCTGAAGTTGAACAAAATAAGGCGTGGATAGAATAATATGGTAGAAGTCCCAAAAAGGGACGCAGCTCACTAATGAGTAAATACCTGAATAAAGTGTAATTTCCTCTGCCGTCGCCAACTGTGCTCTTTCAATCCAACTGAACTGCTGACTCTCAGTGATATACCAATTTTCCGAGTAGGACTCTTCATTATCAATGTAGGGCAGAGCGTCCAATTTATCTGAGAAGCTACAGGATTCACGAGACATATTATCTGGTCTCCTGGAGTCAACTGTCTTTTCGCAGGCATCCCGCCACACAAGCACGGGTTCCTCTATTTGCCTCTCCTCCAGGCCGTTTAACTCCCGCGACACTTTTTTCCGACTCCTACACCAAAGACCCCTGTGAAACTTCCAAAAGACGGAAGAGACCTTGGGATTGGGTCGTTGCTTCGGAGTCAGCGATTTGGCCTGCACATTGCAAGTTTCCTTTTTCTCCAGGCTCGAAAATCCAGGTTGTGCTGCATTTGCGCCGACTGCCCCTCGAAGGAGAAACCAATCCATCTCCTTCTCACCCATCTCCTCCTCACCGTAGTCATAACTGGGACGCTTTATTGGCGGTTCCTCACTATTTCTGCCGGTGGATGATATCGTCGAGGCCGAGGAAAGGGTTGAAGTGGAGTTTGGAGATATTCGATCGTCTCCATCGCCCATTCGACTTTCATTTTGGAGGGGATTCTCAGATGGATTGTCGACTGTGTGAGACTGCGTTTTTCTGCACCCGTGTGTTGTAGCCACAGCGGTATTGACAGGATTCTCTCCAGTCGGAGATCTGTCCTGTTCGGTGGGCTGTCTGTGCAACAGGGCGCAAACACCCTGCACCGCCGGTGAACGTTTCATCTGACTGGCATGCGTCGGTAAAAAGGCAAAGCACACCAAATTATGACTGCGCTGGCCCAGTTGGCTAGGATGATCGTATTGGGCAGAGGCGACAAGCTCGCCGGCAGCTGTGACCATCTCCCGGTTACAGGGCGATGAATGGTTAAACACCCATTCGGCTCGGCCGTTGTTGTTAGTCACCAGTGTTGTTGTCAGCCCGTCACTGGGTAGCGGGAAGTGCAACGACCTGAAGCGGAGCGGTGCAGATGGTTCGCTTTGGCCGTCCTCGTAGTCGTAGTCCCCGCCCGTCTCTAGACGTTGCGCACTAGCCCAAGTGATATCGGCCTGCTCAGAGGGCGCTATTGAGATTCCAGACGGCGTCATTTGCGCCGAGATCTCGGTGATGCCTTCAGGTGTGTTATATTGGCATGGCCCTGGCAATAGGCTTGTCTCGCCCTCCGAAAAAACTCCCGGCGAGGGTGTGGGTGAGAAGAGCCATTCGTTGAGATTGTGAATTTGTGTCTCGGTAGGGGAGGTGGCTTGCGTGTTATGTCGACTGCCGGAAGAGCACTGATCTCCGATCTTGTTCAGCGCAGTCGTACGACCATCCGGAGGCTGGGAAATCGATCTTTCGTGACGGGACAATTGTGGCGCACATATTCCGTCGGTTAGTGACACTGGCGTAAGGAGAGTAACGTCAGTGGCTGATAAGAAACGTTCAGGTTCTTGAGTCATGAAAGCACTTTCGTTAATCCTCTGCAGTTCGCCAAGACTGTGAGACTTCAGAATCTCGAACGCTTTCAATGATACAGAGTATAGAGTACCCTGCGGTGTGTTTATTGTTTGATCAGCGACACCCGTGGTCAAGAAGGAAGTACTTCCAAGTTCCGAGTGGTAGGGCGAATCGAACACGATAGCCGGGAAAGCGTCCTGTACGGTGTTCCGCCGATCATCGACGGTAACTCGACGATTTGAGAAAGATCTTGTATTCGCTTCTGCGGTTGAATTGTCCGTATTATCCTGAAATGAGGTCTCATTGAACCGAGAGTCTTGCAAATGACCAGATCGAGTGCAAATGTACTCCGCCATAGTGACCGCCAAATTTAAAGGATCCTGAAACGTGTGGTTAAGATGAGTTATTTCGCTAGAAAGAGCGCCCATGTCGGCGGCCTCCACTTTTCCGGGACCGCACCAACTAACGACATTGCCTTGTGCTGCGGGGTCCGTTGTGTGAGTGATAAAGTCCGCGCCTGAACCACACTTTACGTCTCCAAGATTACCAGTGCAAGAGGTTGCTATTTCATGATGTCCAAAAACGCCATCGTTCGTACTATCCGTATAAATTTCCTGCACTAATCTCTCCTCCATGAGTGGGGCAACAACTCCCATATGTGACTGAATATCGCTTAGTTCGTCGCTCTCAGTCATTTGCTGCCCTGCAGTTGACTCCAAAGGTATTTGAAGTTCAGTTAACCCACCGCAGGAGCTAACGCTGCCCTGTCTGTTGGACTCCAAAGAGGAGGATGTTGTATTTTTTTGGCTTTCGTTCTCGACGTCACTAGTCAAAACGGCAGATGAGACATGCCGAACGGTAATCTTCTCATCACTGCCCTCTGTAGTGTCGAAAGAGTTGTAGTGCAGTATCTCGCTATCCTCCTCTTCCAGTTCCTCGTGGATGGTGTGGAGATATGCCGAACTGTTGTCGCGTTGGACGACGTTAACGTAGGGGTCTATTTGCGGGTCAGATTTAGTGGCAGGCTCCCCTGAATCAAAATTCCAGTTAGGATTTGAGTCCGGCATCATGTTTACCAAATGGGCGAAAAAATCCCTATGGACAGTAAAGAGGTCCGCTGTGAACATGACACCGAAACGCAAATGAAGTGAATTTGCGTCTGATCACCCATCAGCTTGATGACAAGAGTAGCAGCAGGACACGCTCATGATAACTTGAAAGTTCGCCTGGTGTATGACCGCCAGCGGACGATTGCTAGAGCATCTAATTCATACATTTTGTACTTGCTGCCCTATCCATGCGCAAGCAAATGTCATCGGAAGGCTGCATGCTGATTGGTTATACGACAGGGCGTTGCTATGACTCTGATTGGACTGTGTATTTTTCGACACAATTGAGGATGTGTCCCGCCCACAATGCCATCCGGTTAGGTCCATCACAAAAAAGAACAAAAGTGCTTTCTCAAGTTGAGAATCACATTTTGCATGGGCAATCCGAGCATATATTTATAAAAGCCTTCTCATGTTTATCTTGTGAATTGCTCTCTAACAAACTTTTATTTATTCTTTTCCCGGACGTCTTTTTTTCTTAAACTGTTTACAATTTCGGCAAATTTTACTGCAGCTTTCCTGCTTTTCCAAATGCATCACGAGCTGCACTGATATTTTCTAATTTAAAATCTCACACGGGTAGCAACCATCAAGACTCTTAATTTCAGTGTCAACTACAAAATGCACTAAACGTCGCGCCACCACTACCTATTGCACAAATCTTGTAAAAAATTCGGAATGAAGAAATGCTTTTAATGAAATACCTATGAAAAATTATGGCTGATTTGCATAATGCACAAAGACCGCATTAAAGAAGAACGCGTTTGACAATGGACAACTCCCAATTCGTTGTTTGAAAGGATATTTTCACTTTCCTGAGAACATTTATATCTGCGGAAAAGGAATACGTGTTGTGAAAATGCCGTAAGAGGACTAACGACTTAAAATTGTTAGTTATAATGAAAAAATAAATCGTGTGTAAGTGTTTCAAACTTAATTGTATGCTAGATCTTTCGAAACCCATATGTACCTAGCAAAAATTATCCACAAACTGTCTTGCAAAAAAATGCCAGCGGCGCATGACTCAGATGTGGTGGTCGTTGGACACTGACCCAATGCGGGCATTTTTCTAACAAGCTGTCAGTTAATTTAAGGTACCTAAGATGTTTCTAGATACAAGCGGAAAAATCTATAAAAAAATATGAAAATTTAATTTTTGCCAACTCGTAATGCCATCTCCATTGGTTAGTCAGTCCATGTATGCGAATCAGAGGACAAGGTCTCGAATCAGTCCCAGCCTTCTCATTTGATGATCTTTCGACCAGAGTATTTTTTCTAAAACTGCTATAGTCAGTGGAGTTGACCTATGGATACCGCAACCAAGTTAGACATCCAATAAGTGCGGAAATGCATTTAAAGGTCAATTGATTGAAATCCTAATTGCATCGCATTTTTCCCTTCTTATAAACTTTATGTCGATTATGCGTTTAATACAAAAAGTGGAAGTTCTCTTTTTTAAACAGGGTAAGTTTCTTACTGATTTTTTCACTTCCCAACCACAGATCCCATGGTGCTTATCAGGACATAACTTCTGTTGATTCAAAGTTAATGACTAAACTCGATGTATAAATGTTTGGTAGTCAGTTAACGTGAAATATAAAAGGTCACAAAATATTTACTCAATGCAAGCTTTCGTTGGAGACAGGAAATCGGAGCAGACGAGGACAACGACACGTTCATTAACGACAAATTTCATAAATTTATTACACATTGTATCCTTGTAATTTGCTCTTCTGAAGGCCACAGGATCGCTCATGTATGCGTTGAAATGACTGCAAACTTGTCAGCAGCAAATTCTCTCCAGCGTGAAACAGACTCTGTCCTTCGAAAAGATGAAAAAGACAGGGAGGAAATCTACGGTAGGACAGAGTGCTCGTTAGTTCCGATCAGAGCGCATCCCGCATAATTGAGGCCGATGCTTCATTAAATGGCGAGGACCACTCCGCCCCTTTCAGATATTCTAGCTTTTACAGTTAAAAAAACAGTGAGGTTAACTGCTTTGAGGGACTAGAACGTTTACTGTAAGAAAATCTGAAACCGGTTTCATAGATGATCCTTTAATGTATGATAATGGAAACCAAAGCTATTTACCTGGAAATGCTGCTCTGTAATATATTCTGTGCTTGGTTGCAATTTGCACCAATATAGGAAGCCAAAGATAAGAAAGTTCGGGCAGGTTGATTATCAGAAATCACGACAAGGACACTGGCTCTTTCCCTGTTGGTGACGTAACCTAACCGGCTTATCGCCCGGCGGCGACTTGCGTTTAGCCAGTTTTGCCGCACATTAACACAGTATCCAGCGAAAACTTCCCTGTTGAAGTGTTCGACGGATATGCAGGCCAAAGTTGTAGCGTTGCACATAATTTCGACCATAAAAAGTAATAAAAATAGACAACAAATATCTTTTACAATACAAGTGAAGAGACGAATTCTAGGAAGCACTCGTGAAGAAGGAGACGAAACTGCTATAACAAGAGCTTTATTCACCTGGCGTTTCGGGTTCCTAGTTGCCACAGCGTCTCAAGTCTCCGATCACCGAGTCAGACATAAAGTTCTATTCGCCAGCACAATTCCTGAAGAAAATCAAATGGGGTAAGTCACCTTCTAAGTGTTGTCATGATATCTTTCAATGTCACGTCCCACTTTGCTTCCATTTCACAGGAGATGGCTATCGTGACGACCAACCTACTTCTACGAAACAAATAGGATGAAATAGAGAATCGTCTTGAACACGCTCATGCCCTTCAAATACTGGAGTTTTAAAAAAGGGAATACGACGGCTGAGACAAGAGCTTTATTCACCAGACGTTTCGGATTCTTGCTCGAATCCATCATCAGGGACAATAGCAGATACGGGTGGCTCATGCACGAGGGACTGCAGTATTTACAGGATGCGGTCGCCATGCTACCGCATACCCATGAAAATCCACGACTCCCTACTTTCCTCGAGGACTCTTGAACTTGGTGTGTTGATTGCTCGATGGCCGACATTCGCGTCGTTAATCGCTGCAATTTCATCACGGTGTTGACGTTGATATGATGACTGCACGACCATTGTTTGACCCACCAACCTTGAGGTTGTGAGCATCGTTCGCCTGTGCGTCCCCCGAGTGACTAATTACTCCGCCTAGTCGAAGTCTCAGCACCGAGTACGGACGGGGAAGGTCGTTGCACTTGTTAATAGGCTAGAGGCCAGTGAACCATGACTCAAGCAGCTCCAGGCTCACGCGGTTGTCACCTTTTGAGAGAATTTCGGTTTCGTCAAATTTGCATGTGTGGCCGGATCTCGCCGAATGAGCCGCAACTTGAGAGCTGGCATCACTTTTCTGCACTGCTGCAGCGTGTTCGGCATTCGCGTTTGGAGCAGTCCTCCGGTTTCTCCGACGTAGTTGCTTTGTCCGCAACTGCGCCAGATTCGATAAACGACTCCAGACTTTTCTTGCCGTGGCAGCGGGTCCTTCGGTTTCATTACCTGTCGCCTGATGGTTGCCTCCGGTCAGTGTGCAACTCAAACCCCAAGTGGTGCGAGAAGGCAGCCCACAGCTCCTAAAACGTTCTCAACACATGGAAGGTGCTCACCAAAATTTGGGGTCCGTGCGGTTTGGTCTTTTGTCCCTTTTGTGTATGCACCGGTTGGTGAAGTTGCGCGGGTAGCCCTTGGCTTTGGAACCCGTCGAGGGTATTGTAGTTCGGCAATCTTGTCTTCCGGCTAGCTGCAGTGCGTTCCGACACGCTGACAGAACGTCCTTACACAACTGCGTTTGTGACTGACTGAGTGTTTGTTGATAGAAGCGAACAGGCGAGTCCCAGGTAGCAGGTCAGAAGATGAAAATGCGATCACTGGGACAAGAAGTTTATTTGCCTGACGTTTCGGATTCACACTCGAACCCATCATCGGAGACATTCGCAGATAGAGGTGAAGGTGGCACCAGGAGTGCAGTATTTATAGCGCGTGGCTGCCGTGGGACCGTATGCGCACTGCAATTAACAGTCCTTCAACGGCTGGAGTCGCTGGTTTTCCGACACCACAGACCGAAATTCTGGGCTCGGTATTTGGATGACACCTTCGTCGTCATCGAACGGGATCAGGTGCTGACTTTCAAAGAACAACTCAACGCCGTCTTCCCGGACATTCAATTTACGATGGAGGAGGAGGAAAACAATCAGCTGGCCTTCCTGGATGTCCTCGTCTGCCGCAAAGATTGTGGTGGCCTAAAAACCAAAGTGTTCAGGAAAGCGACAAATACGACGCAAGTACTGAACTTCAATAGCAACCACCCGATCAGTCACAAACGCAGTTGCGTAAGGGCGCTATACCGGCGTGTTGAGACGCACTGCAGTGAAATGGAAGACAAGGTTGCTGAATTACAATATCTTCGACGGGTGATGAGAGCCAATGGTTACCCGCGCAACTTTGTCAACCAGTGCATACGAAAAGGACACCAGAGACCAAATCCAACTAGCCCCAAATTTTGGCGGGCTCTTCCGTACGTGAAGAACGTCTCGGAGGCCGTCAGTCGTCTTCTCACTCCACTTGGAGTTGGGGTTGCACACAGGCCGGAAGCAACCATTAGGCGCCAAGTAATGAGGCCAAAAGACCCGCTGCCACGGCAGGAAACGTCTGGAGTCGTTTACCGGATCTGGTGTAGTTGCGGACAAAGCAATTATGTCGGAGAAACTGGGAGATTACTCCGTACGCGAATGGACGAGCACGCAGCAGCAGTGAGGCGGGGAGACGCTAACTCTCAAGTGGCGGCACACTGGACGGGACCCGGCCATATTTTCAAATTTCAAGAGGCCGAAATCCTCACAAGGAGTGACAACCGCGTGAGCCGCGAGCTGCTCGAGTCATGGTTCTCAGGCCCGCAATCCATCAACAAACACAATGACCTCCCGGTGGCCTATTCCGTATTGCGCTTTTCCCTGGGCAGGAGAATCAGTCACGTGGGGAGGGCGCGG